AGAAATTCCACGTTATATACATATATATTAGTGCTCGGCGGTAATATCAGGAACAGTGTTTTCGCGCGGACTTTAACGAACTAATTAAACGTAGCTGACCGCCGTGCGCGCCAAACGCGGAAATAATATCGTCCGGTTTTTCACCTAACCACGAACCGAGGAATTGCGCGCTAGATTTTCGCATTCTCTTGAAAATCAGCTTGATGAATATTGTACCGTCTTTTGTATTACTTCTCCTTTTTGCACTATCTTCGAGCGCGAAACGAGAGGAGGTAATGAAATATCATATTATAGCTCTTAATTAAACCGCTATTCATTCGTTTATTCCTTTTCTTTCTTGGCCGTTACTTTTGTTTTTTCTTCTTCGCGGCATATAAGCCATCAAATTTTTTTAATTACGGATACAATCGCATTTACATTTCGAATTTAAAGTTGAAACGTGATTTGATTCTGAGATTTATTTGACGAAGCTGATGAAAAATCTGAGATTACATATTAGAAGTGCAAAACCCGATAAAACTTGAGAAAAGGAGTAAAGAAAATGAAAATTGCACGGTGCTGTGATCTTAATCGATCATTAACTCCGCTTTAATCATACTAAGAATATATTCATCAGTTCTTGTGGACTGAGTGATCGCGCAATTTCTTTTATACGAAGCGACCCAGTCTACATAGCATCGTTATCTCATTATCAAACGAATCGACTTTTATGGAATTTGTCTTGTCTATCTTCTAGCTCGGATCTATGCAATTTCTCAGCTTTGGAATAACGCGATAATATTTTATACGCCTTTTGATGTGCTTTTTACGAAATATTTTTACATTTTTTTCTTTAATGTAATATTTTTTTAAGTCGCTTTGTGCTATTTCATATTTTATGCAACAAAATAGCAGACGATTGTTTAAAGATTCACGTTTCGCAAAGGAGTGAGGAATGAGGTCCAAATGCAATTCCGCGGTGTCGTAAAATACTTCGCGTGATCTCATCGTGTCCGTCTTGTTGTTTTACGCACCCCGCTTTCAAGGATGCGCGCAGGGCGCATAAACGTTGTTGGCTCATTCCATAAATTCATAGGGCGGCGAGGATAAACTCGGCATCGGATGTATGTATGTGTGTCGTAAGTTGCGCGTGTAACCACTAATGCTGTTAACGGCAAGCCGTAAAATGTTTGCCAGCCGCGCAATTTCGGATTAAAATAATCCCAGAACGCAAATATCTTATTGACGGCTATAACATTGTTCTAGCCGACGAATGCCGGCAACAAATGTATGAACGCTCGTGGCAGTTTTGCACGCGAGAACGTTATTATGCCGGAACGACGAAAATAGTAGTGCATGTTTCGAGCGTATCCTGACGTATCCTCCAGTAATATACATGTTATCACGTGAATGCGGCGAGGTAAGAATGTGTCGAGGCCGAATAGTCCAGCGCGAAACCTCCCTTTGCAGTCACGCAAAATGAAAAGCCACGGCGGTCTTATTCAAGAGATATCGATTGGCAGAACAAGAAACGTTGCATGCGCGTCCTTGACTCCGTAAACCTTTCCGTTTCAGGGGCCAGGGTCGGCAGGTGAGAGATTAATCGTTCAGGAAACCTTTCGCGCTCGTAAGGACGAGACCTTCCCTGCTCTTTGCGAGACACTCGACTTCGATCGCCAGATAGCACAATGAGCTAGCGAGCGAGTCCATTTTCTTTTATCAGGAGAATCATTAGCACTTGATAACGACGACTCGCGAGGTCGCAAGTAAGAGAATTTATTCGGACGAATCCGAGTGAAAGGGGCATTATGCGAATACTTTGGTAAATTGCGAATCCGTTCATCACATCGCTTTCCTTGATTATTGTAATCATTTGTTCTCTTTCTTAGAAGCCTTATTTCGGGACGATGATAAAAATACTTCTACCACTACAATTTATTTTCGACGAAATAAAAGCTCCGTGATTTACATCTGAATTCTGCATTCGTTGCAATCACAGAAACGACATCGTCGCTCTTGTTAACGCTCCCGCCCGCCCTGTTGAGACGAGGGACGACTCGTTCTACGCGATAAATTCGAGAATGACGTCGAGCACACAAAGGGCAATAACGAGCTTTCGAGAGGCCACATTGGCGGAAATTCGTTCCGCAAGCTCGATCGAAAATGCAGTTTCGATCTGCGGCGAATTCGAAGTAGATCCGGAACGGATGCGCTGCGGACGGTACGTCGGCGGGAGAGAACTTTCCGATGACATTTGGCGCGAAGACCGTAAGTCGATTATGCAACGATTGACGCGGTGCGTAATTTCTACGTAACATTTAAATTGTTCTGCGAATAACAGACATTTCGGGATAGTTGTGCAGCTGTAACGAAAAATTAAACGCTTTGATACCGAGAGAAAAAAAATGCAGTAACCTTCACCTCACGATTTATAGTGTTTCTCCACGCTAAGCAAATTCTTAGCTCACTTTTCTCTCGGTGTGATACGTTAAATTCATTGGTATAATGTTCCGATCTTTCGCGGCACATGAGAAAACACAATACAGACAAATAATCCAAGGAAAAAAAGACATGAAATGACAACTCTCGACAACGTATACTTTTGTTGTAGATTTACCGCAAACATTTTTATCAAAACGGCTGTGTTGAGGAACAACAGGCGCAAACCATACATTGTTTCGTGTTCCGAACAGTTTTGACACTTTCGCTTTACAATTGACTTTTTTCGTAAAACCTATCGGCATGCGTAACAAATAAAAAGTAGAAACGGATTTCCTTCTTTGTCTCTCCTCTCTGTTTGCCCTTTCGCTGGTCACATCGACAGTAACGTTTATTCGAAAGCGCACTGACGCAATGCTTTCATGGTAATATAAGTCTTCAGTGAACGGAACGAACGTGCCATAGACATTCGATCGCCTATCACCCGAATCTGCTATGGTTCTTCACTTTCTATGTATGTCGTTCGGACGACAGATCTCGTTTACAATGTTACTAAACTTCCGAGGCGGAATAAATTCTCTTAAGTTGAAGACTACTCATATATAAGTTTCTCGAACGTAGCGCGGCTGTCTCGGTCAATTTAAAAGTGAAATATTATTTCGCAATTTTTACCTTCGCTACTTCACGTTATCGAAATCGTAATCAAGCATCAAACAACAAATAACCCATTTTACTTCTATTAAATAAACAGAACAAAATTATCTCAAGAGTATCAAATTAGATTGTCGCTTCGTCTTGCTCGCTTTCTCAACCCACTTCTCGGCTGCGCCACGGTTCGCTTGTTCCTTCGGAAACTTTTCCCGAGAGAAGGTTGCATCTCATTAGTTTGAGCGATCTGGCGCTCGCGCTTGTCCCTTGTCCGAAAGATTGCTATCCGCGTCGCCGATAGCATTTACAGACGATGAAAAGCGCGGGCGGATCGATGACGGCGCGTGGCATTGTTTTTGCCGTGCGGGAACTGCATGGCCGACAATGGCCAGCGCGCCGAACCTCCCGCGCGTCGTCCCTCAGCAACATCCCGACAGCACTGCCGCAGGATTCCTCCTACGTGAGAAATAGGCTGCTTCTCCTTTTGTTTAAGCTCTACCCGCCGAGTAGTTTCCTCGGCGTAGTTTCCTCTTCTTCAGACTCGTCACAATTCAATCTTAGAGGAAAATCTTTCACTGTAGCGGAATCGATTTTCAGGGAAATTTCTATACTAGCAGTAGAGATTCGTTGTGTGTGTCTCTTACTCCGTTTTGTCTCGTTTAGTTCAGTTTAGATTTTCCTTGCAATTAGCTTGCGATTATTTTTACATAAAAAAGGCCAAGGCGAACAATAGAGAAATATTGCCGATCAATGAATCTCTCAATCGGATTTGCAATTTTGAAGATTTTCAACGTGTTTGATACGAATGTAAGAAAATTCAAATTAATACGACCACAATTCAATCGAAAGAATAATTCAAAGATTAAAATCTGATCTAAATCAATCAGACTGCATCGTGAATTCGCGTGCCAAGGCACCCTTGTTCTGTAGTTATTAAATGCCGTTTAAATCGTTGACGTATGTATATGTATACGAATGAGGTCTCATTCCAATTCTAGGCGAGGTGGATATTCGATGCCGTTGATTGTTAATATTGTTTCCTTGCAATCTTGACGATACGACTTGGTGCCAGCATATGAGAGGGAATGAAAATATCGATCTTGCGTTCATCCGCCGTTACGAACGCTATTACGCGAACAAAACGCGCTAATGCCGCATCTATATTATATTGTAACGATAGTATATTTCGTTTTGTTATCAAATCATTTTTTTAATGAATATTTATAACGTTTAAAAAGCTTATAGCTGTGAGAAAAATGTAATTGAAAAAGATATTCTCATGAAAGTCAATGGCATCAACATTAATGAATAAAGGCGCCAATAAGAAGGCAATATTGAAGAATTAATTTAAATGTAAAGTTGATGAAAATCCGATGAAATATCTCAGAGCCTTCTTGATCTCCGCTGACCGAGAAGAGTCATGAACTCAGTGGAAACTCGCTGGTATGTTTGAGCAAACATTTTTCTCTTCGACTACCGAAGATTCCAGGTCAGCGAGCCAAGTTGCCTCGAAAATTCGACCATCTTCAGTACACAAGACTCGTGGATACGATGAATAGCATGATTAAATTTCCCAAAAGTTGCTTTGTCCAGTTTGACTGATCGGACAGGCGAATGATGGGTAGAAACATGATCAGTGGATGAGAGAGCGGGAGATGTGTATTATATATATAAGTACGTGTATTGAATCTTACGAAGGAAAAATAGCGAAACTTGTTTCTTTTTTACTGAGAATATGAAAATTCAGGTCATCGAGCCAACGAGATCGGTATTGAAAGTCGACGCTGCGAACAACAACGAATTTTTCAAAGTTTTTTCTGAAAAAAATATTTGATAGCATAAAGTTTGGTATATCTTTCCATAAAATAATAATTATTATTATTATTCACATATATAGGTTAGGATATAATAGTAGATATAAATTTTCAACAATATTTGAAAAAGATTCTTTTTATTCTTTGCCGTGAGACAATAAATTTCATTTATTTTGACACATTTGTATAAAGTCCAACAAGAAAAGTACACCTTAAAAAAATACCACAATATGAAATCCTAAAACAAGTAGGAGTTCCATATTATGCGCACATTTTTTTGTTTATTTGCCCAAGTTTCGTCAGACCACGCGTTTCTATAGAGAGAAATATGGCACGAGCGAAGCTTAATCTGCTTCGAGTGATAAATTACATGTGACAGGTAGTTAAGAATCGCTAAGTTAATCGCAATTCACGCTTGGCACCAGATCGTAAATTTTCTTTGGTAGAAATTTTCCTTTATAGCATGTTTTATAGTATGTGCGTGTTCTCGTATCACAAAGTATCCGGCATTTAGCGCGAGTAAAATTTCTCGCCGCGAACGATTCTCTCTTTTCTGATGGCACCGGCGTTAAGTCTAGGTCAGCGAGCACGACTCAACTTGAAGCATTCGTTCCAAAATTTGTCCATTGTGTGATAGTGGTGAGGGGACACGTGTTCGAGGGCATGCGCCTCGTCCGTATACGTGACCTGCTCGAACAGGATGTCATTATACTCCAGCGACTTGGCGAGCGCCATTGCTTGCTGGTAGTGCACGTTATCGTCCCCGGTACCGTGTATCAGCATGTACTTTTTGCCGCGTATTCCCTCCGCCCGTCGTGTGATATCCGTGCGGTTGTAACCGGCGAGGTTGTCCTCGGGAGTCGGCAGTCCCATGAATCGCTCCGTGTAAATGGAGTCTGTAACAAGCCAGGTGGCGATTCTAAGAAGACGTGTACTCGATGCCGTGAAATTAGGTCGATATTGAGACTATTTCTAAGTATCTTACGACACGATGATAAGATACCGATATTTACGCGCGATCGCAATTACTAATTCCAACTTTGTCCAATTGAAGAGGGCCCAAAAATTGGACTGAAACGTTTCTGTACCATTATTCTGTATCGATTTTTAGTATCTCTTGCGCTCTGACACCCACGCTTGGGTCTCATAACCTCTTTTCTCTGTTAGTTTTTTTTTTATAAAACATATACGAACAAAAAGAATTTGCTGGCAAATTTTATAGTGAAAATAATTTTGTTAAATCTGCAAATTATATTGCTATTATAACACATTGATTTTTAATATTTTGACATTAAAACTTATATTAGCAAACAATTCTACTACGATAACAAAAGCCTTTTTTTCCGTGTATGTCTATCTCTCTTGCAATTAGATTTCTTATTTCCGCCATTTATCTGATCGATCTGTTATTCATTACCGTAATAGATCCACGAAGTAACCGGGGCAACGGATATACCGCATTTGAACACGGAGGCTGTATCCGTCGCGAGTACCATACCGGTAGTGAAACCACCGTAACTCCAACCCCATATACCAGTTCTATTTGCGTCGATCCATTTATATCGTTTCTGCAGCTCTCTGAAACGCGATGAGGAATATATTTTATTCTCAATAGTGTCTGCTGTTGAAATAGTAACGCAATTCTCAATGATTCCCATCACTCACGCAGTAACAGCGATCGTATCTTCGATCTCCACGGTTCCTAATCTCCTGTATATCTCGAAGAGCATCTTACTGCCCTTGAAGGCCGATCCTCGTCCATCGATCCATGCGTAGATCACTCGTCTGTTGGTTGTCAGATAATATTCGTACTCATATTTAGCAGCGTCGGTGATCCTAACTGTGTTTGGACCAGCATAACTGCAAGAGTGATAATTGAGACATTTCCAATCGCGGGAAGTTCATTTCTTTCTTATGCTGAAATTTATCGAGCTTTGCGCTATAAATATTATAAATTGTAAGCGTCGAACGAATCATTGTTAAATAAATCTATAATTCACTGCAATTGCATCTTGAAAAGGAAGAAAAGGAGAATGTAAAAGTCGTTAAAGGTAATCAATCGTTGCGAGAACTCCGGTAGAAATTGATCCAACGAGCAAACTTGATCAACGGTGACTCTAATTTTAAATGGAAATTGCGAATCCCTTTGCGTGCCCATCAATCATAGCACACGTCGGTGTAATTGCACCGTAGCTGCTATTAATGATGTACACGGCAAACATTGGCATAGATGTCAATTATAATCGGATCTTTGCAAGAAAGACGTTACTTCTCTCAACATTATTGTTTCATTATGCAGCTCTTGAATTTTGCAAAATCTTTACATGGCACTACAAAATTTAATACAAACTCGATAAATTTGACATAATAAAATTTCCAATAATAAGACAATGAGATTTCCACTAAACATTACTCGCTATATATATGTTTTGTAATTTAATTTTTGTAACAAAAAAAGATAGCGAAATACTCTTCCTTGTTAAAGCAATCGCAATTTTACTGTGAAAAAAGTCTGAATACTCACACGAATACTAGCAAAGGGTACGATTTATTCTTGTCAAAATCTGGCGGCAGGAACAATCTAACTCTAGCGTTATAGCCGTTCACGGTGACGATAAAATCTCTTTGTTGCGGCATCAATCGATGCGACAAAAGATTTCTCGTCAGCGAGTTAGTCTCCCAAGACAAGACTGGCCGATGATTCGCGTCGTTAATCGTCACCGTGACTGGATCAGGCCCGGAACAGAGGAGGGCGTAATATGATCTCAAGCTTGAAAAAGATGCAGTCGCATAGGCGCATTTATTTCCTGCAACATTTAAATCAATCGGAATTCCCATAATGGCAATTGCAAAACATTTTCATCTCCTCTTCTACGTAATAAAATATTCATTCGTGCCGCTTCAATTCTCTCCATTTCGAACATTGCTTTCGCGTCTAATAATTTTCGCTTTCATTTTGAGATATGCACATAAATAATATCGACATGTGCATAAAATTCTGTCTACTAACGCGATATATATTGCTAACTCAGACGAAATAAATTCCGGCAAACATCATATTTTAACGGATATAAGGTGCACCGACTAGTATCGACCGAGCGTAACAGACTTCTCGTAAACGTAGATTTTTCGGGCGCAGAATAGTCCAGAAAATTAATCTTCTTTGCGATATCGCTTCGTCTGGGAGCGCCAGCTGCCGCCGATAGCTGGAAAAACTTGCGCGAAAAGTAATATTTCAGTCTCGCTCTTTATGCTTCGACGTTGCGCATTAAGACGAATCTTTTGGATCCTCTAGCATAGCAATGAGGAGATAAGTTCGCGCGCCAAGTTTGTGCGCGGTTAAAAATTTGAAAATTCTTACTTAAATGTTGCAAACTATTTCACGCGCCGCGAGAATATGAAAAGAAAATTGCGGCAATTCTCGAGCGAGCGTTCTGTAGATTGCATCACGCGTATTTCAAAGTTTTGCGCGAGTCTTCCCGCGGAGCCTATCGGCGCCACGCGTGCGTGTGTGTAATAACGTTAAATATTCATGAACGCGACTTGCAGCTTTCGTCAGAGAGATGAGATTACTCCCGATGGATTTACCGTTTTAATTGGAACGTGTACCTATTGCCTCGGACAAGTTATAAATGCTATCGACTACGAGTTCCCAAATTTCACCATCACCTATGGGACGCGCTTAAAGCATTTTCCAAATCTCCAGTCTCATTCGAACGCCGATTTAAGTAGAACGATTGACTATTAGGAGTGGCGGAGTTCTCATACATACTTCTCGCGCAAATGCAAAATATTTCTCCCGAGACTCCATACTTTAAATAGAATATTCCGGCATTGCTGAACATTCTCTCGAGATTAAATTACTACCTTCGGGGACGGCGCAAGTTCATCATCTGAGCTGATGAAAAATACCAAATGGCATCCTTTCTTGCTCTCTCGCTCTCTCTCTCTCTCTCTCTCTCTCTCTCATTTCGCTTTTTCCCCTTTTCTCTCCGCTCGTGTATTCATGATTTCGAGGATTCACCTTCTGGCGTGAGTAGCTCGCAGGATACACAAGTTGGCTTCTGGCTCGCATCCAGCGGCACCGAATACAAATTTCTCTGGGACGGCACACCGGGCGCTGTGGCGAGGTAGTAAACTCTGTCTCTGAACAAATCGACGGCCAGAATCGAGTGCACCTCGGAGGGACCGGGCGTTAGATCCACCGGCGAAACGAATCGGCCGCTCTCGTACTCGTATCTGACGATGTGACGGGAATAAGATTACAGAAGCTGGACGGTAAATTCGGAAAAGTTTCGGTACTACGGCGTTACTACTGTCAAACTTTTCCAATGTACGGGGTTACATCGGAGAAACTTAATTTTGCATTTATTCAACTTCTGAGAAAATAAATTTCACGGAATATTTGGAAAAAGAAATATTTATATACCTGATTATATGTCGAAATCTACCAGCGCTGGTATTCGAATCTTCCCGTTGTAAAATTAATGCGTAACCGGCAGCTTTTGTAGGATGATTCGGCTGAAGCCAGCCCTCGGTTTCCTCCTCGTCTAGAATCGGGCTGCTGGTACCTTGTGTATCGTACATGATCAACTGGGACTGGTTTTGCACGCGGTTCGTCCACGTCGCGATTACATGTGTCGCATCCCACCAGCTCACGGTAAACAAAACATTGTCACTGCGAACAAAAATCCAACAGAAGTACATTAGTATGATAAAGTGTCTAAAAACAGGTACAGCGACACCGATTGTTAACTGTAAAAACTTGCCTGCCAACTGCATCAACGGGTGCTTTCAAGGTGATTGCTTTTGACGATGGACTGGTCAAATCGATTATCGATAAAGATACTTCCGGGTTCGGCGTGCCCGCCTAAAAAATGATATCATAAATTTTTTCATCGATAAAAATAATTGCAAATTACGCGAATAAATAGAAATAATTGTTGATTTTCTTGAGGAGCAAAAATCTAACGAGAAAAGCAGAAATGGTGGCAAATTTTCCGAAAGACTGCGCTTTTATCAATGCACTTCCACAATTGGATTATCCGCACGTGCCGACACAGACGCGCGTGGAAAATGGATCCGTGTAAGTTGAAGTTAAACGGGAGAATAGCAGTCCTTTTAACCTGTTAGTGCAGTAGCGATTTGGTCGAGTGGAGACGATTAATCGTGTCGAAGATACTAGCTTATTAATATCGGAACAATTTAAATGATTTCAGTAGCAATATACTTTAATAATATATCAATTATATATGAAGTAATGAAATTAGTGTTATACAGTCGATAGTTAAGAATTGAAAAAGATGTCTAATCATTTTTAAAAAATACTTATTGTCTACAAAATATTCTTTTTCATTTTATTAAATAAACTCATATTGATATAGAAGTTTGTTTTATGTAGGCGTTCTTGAATTAGAATCTCACCTTGGGATATTTTATCTTTATTTCCGTGGGATATTGGTCCTCGAGAGAGCCGGGGTCTCCATAATGAAAATATGCCATATCCTTCACTACAGTATCGTTGAAGGTTGCAAAAGCTAGATGCCGTCCATCCGGTGCATACCACATCGCGGTCGCGGATGCAAACACTTCCTCTGCAATCAACATTCGCGATTATATCTGTCATTTATAATTATATACTGTAAATGCGTATATTTCGCGATGTATGATTCCTTTAGAACAAACAATTTTAGTAAAATATTTACTTGTCTCTTTATATTATATTGTACATTTAAATATTATATTTATATGTTCATTTCGATTAAGAGATAATTTTACCTTCGTATACCCAATCCGGAATTCCATTGTAAATAACTTCGGATTTGCCGCTTGTCGTTAATCTTCGCACAATGTTCTGACTATGATTAAACGTCATTTGATAAATATCATTATCATAAACGTAAATCAAATCACTGCCGATCGGTGACCACAGCGCCAGCGTGATAGGAGCTTCATTCGCGATCTCTTCGTATGTGCTACAAATATATAAAAAAAGCTTGATTATATAATATCTTTTTTATTTGTACAATGTGTTTATAAAACACTCAAATATTATTAATAATTATTAATATTGTTAATACGTCAGGAAAAAAATGCTCGTTAAAATTTTCAGGAACTCTAATGAGACAATCTCTAAAAAAAAGCGACCAAGCGAAAAACTTAAATTTTTGCAAACTTGTTTAATAAAGAAAGATAGCATGATTTTAAAAGCTAGTCGGCATTATCTTTATAATTATGTTAATTGTTAACATGCAACAAAAAGTGTCAGTAAATCAAAATACGGAAAAAAACAAGTTTTATCGCGAGTTATATAACAAATACATAATTTATAGACTCTTATAAATATGATGTTTAAAAACTGTTTATGTTGCAATAGAATACGATGCGCGTACACGTAATGTTACGTAACTGTCATAATGTGATAATCAAATTGTGATGACCAATGATATTAGGATAGTAGGTCACTGTAGGTTACCGACCTGTATAGAATGCGTCAGTCGGTTCCGGTTTATATCGAGATACGAGTCGAACGTTGTAACAGAACAGTCGTATCAAAAACAAATGTTACTTAAAAACCGTGACTGCTTCCGCCAAGCCCAGAGTCATTTATCTCCGGTGAGTACTTTGCTAGACATCATTGGTTAATTGCAAAAATTAAATTAACTCTTTCGGGATGCAACAGCATAAAAACGCGAAACACGCTGCTAGCCGGCGCGCTGAATTTATAGTTTAGAATGTCATGTACTCGTTTGTTGTGCATGATTTCGCGTGAGATACGACCGTGTCTCTTGATACGGCCTCGCAGTCGCAATGAACATTTTTCAGACATCGTATATATACGCTCTGCGGCAACCGCGAACACCTTTTGGACGGCGTATATCTCCACAAGGGTTAAAAGTTTTATACATTCATCTAGCGCTCGAACGTTCATGGCAGATTTCCAGATCCCGCAAGGAAGAAAGCTTTAATACAAGATAGTTAACAATTTTCTTGCTTTTAACCACTTCGTTAAAATTACACGCATTTTTCATGCGGGAGATACAATAACGATACATGCTGCAAAACTTGAAGAATTAATTAGGTCGTCCTCTCGTATTATTTTATTTAGAAGCATATAAAAACGTTGAAAGAATTCGCCGCAGTAGTGTTGCAACTTAACGAGGATTCGTTAATATTATCATTAGCATAAGTGTGCCATAAAAATATGAATCAGTAAACTTACCCATTGTTTATATTGTATACTACGTAACTCCTGACGGTCGAGTGTCTAAACACCTGTATAAATTATTTATTTTAGATTCCGTTGCATTTGGTAAGCAAAAAGGTATTAATTAAGTAGTCACTCACTTTTCTAATATTGTAACCGAAAAGAATATATTGGTTGTCGGCCGAGAAAGCTACCGTGCTGAATTTGTATGGCAGCTAAAACAATTTTAATATCGATGTTTCTAGTAAAAATATTTGCAACAATAATTAAACGCGCCTTGTCAGATTTATAGGCATATTTGTAATACTTTTAAATTAGAGCTTTAAAGATTCAATTACGCCGTAGATTATAAAATACTCTTACTGGTAAGTTCCATCCGTCAAAAATTCGTCTATTTTTTCCAGTAACTACGTTGTAAACAGTAATATCGCTAGTATCGAAATCCGCAACCATGATTTCTCTGTCAGAGACCCATGTGCCGTTGAAACCAGATGACTGGTACAAATGAAGATAAATTTCTTCCAAAGTGAATGGTTCTTTGGTGACTTGATCGCCATCGTTATTGATGGGAGGATCGGTAGTAATGTCGTCAACGCGTGAAACTACAGATGGATTTAACACGAGAAGTATAAATGACATATAATTTAATTAAGATCATTAAAATCTATTTATCGATCATTGAAATTGTTAGTATCTGGATTTCTAAAAATGATAATCAGACTGCCAAATATTAGTCGTAAAATTGATCATACGTTAAATGGGTCGACCTACCTGTTCGCGATTGAGCGATGGCGAGCACGTAGCCGCACAGAAATAGAATCTGAAAAAATTACAGGACGTGTCAAGGATGTAATACCATTAAAAATTTCCTTAGATTTTTTTCTATCACATCTATGTAGATATAAGAAAGAGATCAACAATTTTCTATTTTTTTTTGTTTTATGAAAATTGAACTAAAATTAATGATAACAAAAAGAATTGATTTTAAAAATTATCACCACGAAGAGTTAATACTCCTAACGCATCACCTTATATCACCACGAAAAAAAAATAAACAGCGAAAAATCTTAGACGGAAGGCGATAAATCGAGACAGTTCGGACCTTCGAAACTTTTCTATTGGTGGCGCACATCTGACGAAAAGTGCTCTCGCGAACTTATCGATTCGATATGTCGGGACGTTGCGCCCGTTTTATGTACGAAATCGAAACAGAAGTAAGTCGAATAAAAGCTCGTCTGGAAGATCGAGGTTTTCGATATTTATTAGCTTGATATTTATTTTCTGCTTTTCTCTTAAATACATCGCGGAAATGAGTTAAGAAATAAGTCGTGAAAAAATAGAATGTTTATTTCTCATTTTTCTTGGCTTCTTAAATAATCTGTATGAAACATAGCGATACAAAAATTTGTGAAAATAGTCGCTTATAAAATAGATTAAGCATTTACTTGAACATATTTTATAATTTACATTATAGAGTTTGTTAAATTATTAAAAAACCATTAATTATTGTAAAACAATAGTTTGTAAAATATATATTTTTAAACTTCATAAAATATTTGATCAGTTTTGCTACTAACTATATGTTAAAGTTTGCAATCAGCTGTTTCTTAGCGATAAAAAGCAATTAATAATTAAAGAGATTATTCTATTTATTGCGAACTAAGTTAATTACAAAATCACGATACTTTATTTTAAATAAAAAATGAAGTTATTGATGAAGTTTTGACAAGTTGAAGAAATCTATAAAATTACTGCAAACTGTATGATTTTAGGAAAAATGCTTACTTATCTAGTTCTAAATCCTCTTCTATATTTCTTTATAAATTTCCTCATCTCGCGATTATCGCAAAATAAATAAAAAGAATAAAAAATGCGACGAATCCATTCTATTGCACAAGAATCACACGAGAAAACCACAAATTCGTCATGTCACTAAATAACGTACCGTGTGTCTCATCATGACGGTCATCAGCCAATCTACGAATCGCGGAGTCTGGATCGCGATCGAAAAACCCGCTGCTCGACGACTGATCTCGCGAGTGCGCCCGACAGAGACTAATATATCGCGCGTGTTTTTCTCAGCTAGTTCCCAACAACAGCAGGTGCTCCCACCTCTTTCAACAAATCAGTGGCACACGATCTTTCACGTGATCTTCCGTGGTACTGCGCTTCTCCTTCTACTTTATTAATTCGGTCTACTATCTGCCGATATGCATCGATAAGACGGTATTTTGTCTTATATCGCTCAGATTGATTCCCATACTAAGAAACAGTTGTTTTTTTTTTCAGATAACGAAGAAATCCGAAAAAATGAGTCGACTTGTCTCATTGAAATTGCTATTTTATAACTACATTCTGTGTTAAAGGAAACAATTACGATAAATTGTAAATTGTAAAAAAATTGTGGAAAGACATGTAAAATAGTTTTTTTTTGCTGACTTAGAATATGATATTTCCTGTCAACAGAAGTGTCAAAATGTAGAAATTTAATTAAGACTTAAAATTCTATAACATCGAAAATAATTGCTCGAGATTTAAACAAAACTTGCAAAATATAAAGAATCGAATATGACTTAAAGACACCAAGTTTTAATAAGTTCTATACATACGTATATGCGATAAATTTTATAATGTACGGTTATGTCTCTTTCTTCTAGAAACGTCACGATTTGATGGCCAATTGTTACAATAATAATCACACCGTAAAACTGTAAAAGTTGTGACAGAAAATCAATAGTCGGCAAAGAGCGACAATGTGGCATACTGACATTAAATCTCGCATATTCAGGGTCGCTTGTTATTTAACTAAATGCGCGATAAGCGACGATTGCCAGCATGCTCTCATGCGATAAGAAACTAATATGTATGACATTTAGTTAACACAATACTGGATATATTTACCAACTAAACAGATTAAGAGTTGATTAATCTCATCGAATGTTATCTTGAAATTGCTTTTTAATCACATTTCTAGAGGAAATAAAATAGATAAAGAGAATTGATTGATTGATGAGCGAAGATTAAAACGTGCATTGCGAATATGTTGTGATTAAAATATTTATTACAAACAGATTTCATGCACGATGTATTTACGAACGATGTAAAAAGTACAATTAGCGACAAACGCAAAAAAAATTTTAACGGTTTTCACTTATCGCGAAATATCATTTTGAATATTATATTGCACCAGGCTTGCATCATTTCAATATCATGACATTGAAATGCAAAAAAGACTAATATCTGATCAAACTCAATTTTTTTTATTTTTTTTATAAAATTTGTATAAATTTTCTATTCTAAAAGTGTCACACTGTTCTATATTTTCTTGTAAAATTTGTGTTATAAAAAAAGATTTTAATCATAAGTAATAATATTACCGAAATGAAACTTAAACCTACCAATTTATTAGCTCCTCTTGCATCTTCGGTTTTATCAATCATTTTGAGAAATTTATTATTATAGAATAGAAAAAAATTTATATCACGATCTTATCTTCCACAATAATTGCACTTCAGCATTTTGCTCGCTAGTTTTGTTTTCACCGTTTACAAATGTTTACACTATGCGCGATGCACTTTCAAATCATTTTAAAAGCAACACTCGATCACATAATTTAATATGGTATTCAGCGGATCAATAATGCATCTATCGAGGAAAAGAACCGTCCGACCTTTCTCTCGTGTTACGAAGTATCATCTCACAGCATCGCATGCATGACATACTTTGCGAGAGGAGGAATTACTGTCATCATCGTCATCACCGCGTTCATCTTCGTCGCAGTCATTTTACACGTGGGTCATTATCGAGTCCCTAGCTCATAGCAATCAGCCAATCTGATTCGGTTGTAAGGTCACTCGCACTCTCCTAGTATTGCCGGTTAAATAAAGGGAATTCGCCATAAATATACATGGAGAATGATACGCGAATGAGAATAGATCTCTTAATCTGTATAGACTGCTCCGAGAAGGCAAAATGTGTCATAGGTAATAAAAAATATTGTATATTTAACATTTCTATAAAAGTAATGTGATGATTGTATATTTATTTGTTTTAATAATTTATGAATTAACTCAAAATTGGCAAAAAATTCATGATTTACCGGATGCACATTTAGCAAGCGTGTTTTATTTACGTCATTTTATTAACATTTTCCGCTTTTCCAACATACAAAAAATTGCAATATTATTTTTTTATAATGTACATTCTGTAAAAATTAGAAAAAAAATTCTAAGAAACAACGCTACTGCGGTAAATTGAAACTAGTCGCCATCTCGTCTTAATAACATGAAATACAGAAAGGCCGCGACTTGGTTACCTACTGTTAAGCTTTCCCTTTGCTTCAACCTGACTGCCTACCAGACTAACTTTCTTTGGTTCGTGTTAGTCGATGCGCCAGTAGATGGCTGGCTCTTAAAATACAGTAAAAACTTCACTGGGAGAAATTCCCTCAATGTTTACATTACTAATATTTCCCCAATGTTTTATTTTTATATTAATAAAATGATGAAAAAAACGCGCTGGTAAATCTCAATTTAGATATAATTAAATTATTATTTTTGCATGACATTTTAAGCAAAGAGAAGGAAAAGCCAATGGCATATTTTTACACATATAACATTTATAAAATGAGTTTAGTCGTACAAACAAACATTTTATTATCCTGAAATATTAATGCATTCTCGGGAAAAATATAATAATGTAAAAAATATTAATCTAAAGCGCGATTTTCTTCATAATTTTAACTCTGATCTCTCGAATACATTGCATAAAAGGATTTCCCAAATGTAACACAAATTTGGGGCGACAAACACAAAGAAGTGGTCTAATTTGAAGCTTTTGGGATAACAATTTCTTGCATCAGTCCTTCGCGCGGCCCCGCGAAGGATATTTCCGACCCTTTCATGGGCGCGTTTGCTATCGATCGAAGGGGATATAACGCGTACCAGTCGCGTTGCTACGAATCAAGGAAATCGAGTGTGGAAGAGAGAAAGAGACACAGATAGGAAGGGTGCACAAAGGCCACCCCCTTCGGACCGAACGACTATAAGTACCGGTCGCGGTGAGTTCGCGCGGCTTATGAGCGCCTTGTGGTCTCACCGTGGCGTGGTATCGTTTTCGCGTTCGCGGAAAAACCACTTGGACTTGGCGCCGGAGTCGTTTCGATCTATGAATAGATCCTGATCCACCAAACGGCACCCATTTCCATCGCGCAACCAGCCGCGATTATCGCCCGATCGGAAAGCATCGATCTGCCGAAGGAAGACCAGCGATACAGCACGTGGAACATACGACGGACGAGCATGACGATCCCACGGGATCGAAGAATTCGCGTGGAACCTACGTAATGGGTGGATTTCAAGTGGAAGATCTGAGTGATCGACCGGGGTAGACGTGATGTCGCTCGGGATCGCCTCAGGAAGTCAATCGAGATGAGGAAGAGCAAGTCGAAGGCAGACGTCATCAATGACATCTGCGGATGCTCCGCTCTGTCGTCGATTATTCACAGAAAAGACTTGAACTCTACTTCGGGTAAGATTGCAAATATCTTTACTCTTTTCTTTTTTAAATGTCAAGTTGGCTTTCAAGTTGCCGATGTGTCACCATTTATAAAATACGAATTGACTTCTACGATGTATGCGTCATTGGATGTTGATTTGTAAGATTTATGCAAAAATTTGCAAGAACTTTTGATATTTAATGTTTCTTTTACTAAATTTAGAGAATTATTATTCTAATTAATGATCAGAGTAATGATTTTTTAGAGATACTTTTATTAAAATCGTATTTTTTATTGACATTTAATAAAAGAATGTAGAATACTAAAAATTTACACCGATTGCGCATACTTAATTTATCTGAATGTCGATATTATCGAGTTTGTCGGCATCGGCAAGCTACTCAAAGTTTTGTCTACGATTCGATTGATTATGGCTCGCACGTGGTCTTTGAGAACCGCGAACAATCGATAGCGCTTGACATACAACCTTGAACGAGAGACGATTGCTTACAATTTCCTTTTCTTGGAAAAGTCTCGTAGAAAAGCCTCTTCGAAACATTTACGATAGAAACAATTTCGGTAATCGTCGGCGTCTGGCATCTGAATGCCAGATCTATTCAGATTTTATTGGTTTTTCCAATCGACAATTCGCGAAACAGCCCTCGTGTATAGTGTTAAATAGTTTCTAATGCCAAGTTTCTACTTCGAATCAATTCTATCACTTTTATTCTAGTCAGATACGATAATTTACGACTTTTCCCCGGAACATTGTCATTGAAGAAATGATGAAAAAAAAAAAAAACTTTCGCGAAAGACTAAAATCGCGATTGACGTCGAACAATCGACGTCACGCCGATTCTCACCTCTTATTTTTCTTCTCTTCTTTCCCGTTCTGCGTGTTACTCCCTCCATCGATCCGTGGTGGCTACCAGCTGGGTTGTTTCTGGATACATAAACGTTTCCGACCCTTCGTAAAGCCAGTTTCGAATCTGTGTAGCTAGTCGGCTATCGGTCGCGCTTACGATTTCACGAGATCCACCGATCCTTGGCTTTCTCACCGTTGCTGCACCGTTTTTGTCGCGACATCGCTTATTCCGTGACTTCTTTTAAAATGTGCAAACATATGATAGGTGTTATCTGTGATAAATTCTGAACAAACGGGAAGGTAATGTGACGCGCCGAGACAAGTCAACGAGTATCAAGTTTGCCTCGGTTGCCCCACCATCTCGGCGGGGTGCCACTTGCGGTTCTCTCGTCTGGACCAGGGCCTTCGGGCCCAGACAGGTGTAAGACAACGTTCCCATTCACCGCGAGGCAGTGGCGAGAAGAACAACAACGGAGACATTTTCTTCCCACGAATCTTAACTGCGAGCATTAACTGTAGTAAATTTAATGGTGCAATTAACTACCAATGACTGAACAGTGATAATAGGTTTATGTTCGGTGATAATACACGGTCAATCTTGTAAATTGCAAATTGTAGAGGAAAATTACTTTGAAGTGATATTTTTATCTTAAGGTAATACACGGTCAATCTTGTAAATTGCAAGTTGCAGAGGAAAATTACTTTGAAGTGATATTTTTATCTTAAGGTAATGACAATTCTGTGTTATATAAATACAAGAATATGATGAAAAATGCAACAAAATGTGAAAGTGAACTGTTGAACTCGAGACGAATTTTCCGCGAAATTAGAAAGTCCGTCCGAATATAGTTTTACATTCTGCACGCGAAACTGAATGTTGCTATCATGGTTTTCTTCGGAAGGAAGGAGAAGCTGGAGAATCGGCGATTGCTGGCCAGCATAGATGCCATGAACGGTGGCGTTATCCATCAAATCGACAATGGTAAAGTTTTCATTCTCGCCCCGCGAATTATCGATATTTAGCATTTCGTAATTGATTGCAAGATGCGGTTTTTCGCATACGTCATGATTTCCGATAGAATTGTCATCGTCGCTTCTCTGAAATTAAAAAGAAATATTTTGTTACTCCACGTATATGCGAATAGATGTTCTCAATATCGAGGCATGTTTCCTTGAACATCCGGAGGGAGTGAGCGCAAATATTATCACCAGCCGCATATTTATAATTTCCGCCGTTTGCTTTTCCCGCGGTTTTAACGTCGACCGTGTGGCATAACGGTTACGCCTTTCGCTCGACGACTTTCAACTGTTGCGTTACCTGCCCACTAGCACGTAAAATTCATCAGCACATTGCTGACAACAATGCATTCTGGGACTCTGTGTTGTATGAATTAATTAATCATTGATAACGTAACTGCGTTACGAATGCACATATATTGACGATAGCAGCTCCACAGAATGATCATGAATTTGTAACAACGTATGCTGTGACAAACGCATCGATTATGTAGTTTTTTACATTCCTGTTATACAATATTTTATAATTCGGCATCGAAGCTAAGCAAACGTACATAAATCACGCATATATATTAGCGCGAAAAATTCAATAGCATATTCCGTGTACATTGTATCTTTCATACTTCCATCTATACCATAATATCTTATAATGGCATGCATTTATCATTCATGCGTTGTATAGTTGGGTTATTATTGCACAGCCAAGTGGTTTCCATCGATCATTCTAGTTTCAAATATGTCACTGGAGCATAATGGATCGATGAATCGTACAAAATTTAAATTGCTTAAAAACTATATTTCCAACAAAACAAAATGCAAGCAATCAAGTTTCTACGTATATGTTTTCCTTAGTACAAATGTTTAAATGAATCCGAAAGCAACAAATATCGTGATCAATAATATTGAACCGTCAAGCAAATGTTAGCACTACTCAAATAGGACACGATAATAATGTCTAAGAAGCCTTGGTGCCACTTGAAGTCGTGAAGTTGACGTTAATTGAAGCGCACTTAGATATATTATTTAGTACTTTATTTTACAGCTCTCGAGCTTGCTCTAAATAAAGTCAATTCTAAACATACTTCACTTGTAATTTTGTACTTGTTTGCACGCGTAGCAGGTCGCCGATAATTTTGCAAACTCTAAGAGAAATAGTTATTCCTTTTTTTACTTTGTGCTCTAAATATAAAAAACAATTTTTCAAATAAAATTGCAAAATTCGTAAAAAGGAAAAGCAGCTATCACTATCACATCGACCGAATCGATTAGCTAATTTCATATGTTTTTCAGATACTATCCGCATTTTCATCGTTTATCTTCTTAATTAAATTTAAAGTTTATTTTTGAGTGCAGTTGTTAAAATTTTTTAAAAATGTTTAACAATTCTCTACATCAGATTGACAATTGAGAAAGATTTCGCGTAATGCATCGGCCACCTGTAGCTGACCCAATATTGATCAGGCCAAAAGATGGCCACGCCCGAGTTCACTCTCACGTCACTGCGACCCTGTTGGCATCCCTCGCTTTTCACCCACTTGCCACCCTCTTTTAACTTCCCTCAACCGCTGCTACTGTCGCCGCCGTATGCGACGATGCGCTGTTCGTGGCCCGTGTATTCACAGCTGATTATGAACGAGTGCGTCGTTACTGTTCCAGCTGCGTTCATGCACGTACGTGACAATATCGAAGAACTGGGTAAAGTTGCCGATGACACGGACCTGCTGTTTCTGAAGGGACTTCTTGACAGCCCGGTAGTTACATCTCTCGTTAAAGTAAGTGCATCTTTTATCTTGAAATCAAAGTAAACCGAAAGATCGTTATGCGAGATAATTGTGGACTTTCCTTGCCTCGGCAGATTATAGTTTTTTTTTTTTACCCATAAATTGAATAAGAATTTTGTGAAAAACATTTGACATTTTCATCGGTATATGTTTGAATTTTCTAATGTAAGATGGAAAAACTGCGAGTATTAAATTCAGTTAAGTAACAGTTTATTTCCTCAGCTTTTATCGTCCTGTTCATCGCGTCGCTAGAAATTCTAATGGGGAAGGCTACACTGAATCGCAGTTTTTCTTGTAATATGAGCGGGCTATAAACGCATCAGTGGATAATTTTATCCTACACGCTGCGTATGTAGTCGAACGCGTCCATGTGCGTCCATATGTTCATTAACAGTGTTTACTATGATAGAAATTTACGAGCGACATGCAGATTTACGAGCAGCTTTGCCCACCGCGGTATCCTTTTGATTCGTTATATCGTTGAATGAAAAATTGAAACGATTATGCGAGCGTTTTCGGCCGTCTGTTCAAATATTTCGGTTATTGAACCGATGCCGACTAAAAATATTATAATGTAACATTAGACGGCATTTAAAAAAATGGATTTCGCAAAATATAATTGGCTGAGTGAATTTGAGATCGTCTGATATAATTTTACACAGTTCCGAAATCCCTTAAAATATTCCCAGGATTAAATATTGCATTGAGCAACACCGAGGGTCCTTCATAAAGTGCATTAATGTATTCTGCATGTTACGGTTGAGTCGCTAGTATGTCGCTTAATTGCATACATAGCGAAACGATGTGTGTACTTGAATACACACGATTATCTCACGTGAGTGAATAATAATACCCCGCCTCGCTGGAATTTGATCGAGTGGTATGTAGCGGAAGGCAAACTCGTTCATCACTCAGCATGGAAAAAAAAGAATTTTGGGAACATGCGTGTTATTTTTCCTCGCTCTGCGTGCCTTCACGTGCTTGCATCATACTCTCGAAACATCCGCGACACCCACGCTATTTCGGTCGCGACACACTTCTCTAGCACGAAGAGTATCGCGGCCTTCGATGAGAATATTATGGGCTAAATCGGCAATATACGTGACGCGATTTTTTTTTCCACAGCGATATGATTGTATAAGATTAACTAGCATGATTGCAATGATTTTCCACGTCGAGCGAACGAGAAAAAAGGTTTCTGAATTAAATTGTATTAAAACTTAAATATATATTTCGCGCTTGATATTTTCTCCTTTGATTTTTCTCGCAAGATTTTCGAACGCACGCGAAGAATATTGAGAAAAGAAGGTTTCTAAATTAAATTAAATTCAAATTCAAATATGTATCTTGCGCTTGATGTTTTCTCTTGTGATTAAAATGGACAGAAGTAATGAGGAGAATTAGAACGGATTAAATGATTACATATTTTTGTCATCGTTACCTCTACAATCATTAACACTTTAACATTCGTATATGTTTGTTATAAAAATAATCATAAGTATTTATAGTTTAACAAACATCAGGTTTTTTCCTTGTAACAAAATTTTAAATCGAAATCTTTTTCTTTCCTTTACCTGCGCGTCGAAACTCGTGCATTTCTCCCTCGTCTGAATAGGGTCCACATTCCAACAATATATACCTGGCAGGTACAGAATACGTCATGGGCAGGGACCGCTGTTAAGAAGGTTCTCTCGCCTTAATAGCAAAGTGAACCAACAATGGAAAGTGCTGAAAAACGCGGTGGAATATATTATCTTTGTTGAAAAATAAGGTGGGAAAATCTCTAGATAGCGAAAGAAAATTTAATAATTGGTCGTTGAAAAGCGAAGAGAAAAGGTGACAATAAAGAAAGAGAAAACAATGAGAGGAACAAATTAATACCCGACAAAATGAATATAATTGCATACAATTACGTATACGAATAGGTGGGAAATTATTCTACTGTTATTATAGAATATTATAATTTGCGAATATAGGATGTGAAGAAGAAAATTGAGATTTATGGTCACACAACTTTGCTCCCTTTCTCTTAATAATATTGGATAATTGACCACGACCTCGTGGACCTCTTAATAATTGAACAGGTCATAGGCGCCTCTGCGGAGTCATCGCTTGTGCTCGCAGAAATCTAAGCGCGGACATGCGTGTCACGATGGTACATGCGACTTACGTGCGTGTTTTATAAGTCGTAGCGTGTATGAGACGATGTAATTTCAGTCGGGGACTTCGGCTTTGTAATCGCACGAGAGGAAGTGGGAGAAGCATACGACATATGTTGATTCCACATGTGTGGAATGACAGGACTGTGCTATGCAAGCAGATTCTTATCAAAACTTTTTATCTTGTAGAATCGAATGATGAACTTCCCGTGTAACTGGATCAACTTTCGTGATCTATTTATGCGCAGAATTATTTTTCTACAATGCAAAAAATTCTTTCGCATTAATTTGTCCACGAATCAACAAACAATTTAATCAATTTCGCTGATTACTGCATATTCCGTCGTTGTTGTCACACTAAACTGCTAACTTTTCAAACTGTCACACATTTAATAATGAAGCATTCAGATATCTTTGTTATTGGTTATTAAATGACTATGCAGTTTTTAATAATGACAAGGAAACTAATTTAGTTCTAGAACTAAACTGTTTTCATAATTTGATGAGGAAAATGTATTTTATTGAACGAAATATATTGCCACTCGACTATTTTATCTGAAATTGATTTCTAGAATAGAATTTTAAAAATAAAAATTTCGTTATTTTCACTCGCTGTTTCTGCGTTTAATCGTCGTTTGTTTTTTTACGATTTAGTTTGCATTACATAGTTTTTCCAAAATGTTTACATCATTCAATATACTGTGTTGCGGTTCTTTATTTACAAAGCAAAGAAGTCTGAGAAAGTACGATTGCTACAATGTGTCGAGGTTTTACATTACGAACAACGAAGCTACCTGTTCCGCGAATCTAAACTACTTTTGAATAAAGTTAGATTGTAAAAAGAACTGGAAATGAAACACGGTATTGAACGTGTTTACGCTCGATTACAGCTATTTTTACAAACGGAATCAATCGTGAACGTGGGAACGAAGTATCCTACTTTTATGAATAATATTCTATTAAACTAGAAGCAATACATATGCGAATATTCCATATACATCTTGCACGTCTTCTCGTGAAAATGAATGAAGAAAAGGTGAAAAGAAATGATGAAGAAAAAGGAAAAAATCGATCGATTTTTTATGATATAATTTCAAATTAAATTTGGAAGCGGTGTTGAAGAAACGCTGTGAGCACTTTGACATTTTCACAAAAAAGAAGGAAAGCCGCTCTGCAATGAGAAATGCCTTGCACATATCGCATTTCTCGACCGACGACCTTGGAATTGTGGCTCCTGAATGAACGGTTACGTTCCTGGGGCAAACGTAGCGGAGTGTTGCATGCTAGGAGAGGAAGGATCCCCACCTGTTTCAGGCGACTCGCCTGAACAAGCTGCCTACGCGGAGGGAGGCAGCCGACGACGTCAGTAGGCGCGGCAGTTTTCTGACGCTGCTTACCTAAGCGAGTGTCGCGCGACATACGGAACTTAAGTATCTTCCTTTAGTCAGCATCTTGCGTGCCACTTGCCCCTTGTGATAGATCTGGTTTCTCCTCGTGTACGTCCGGTCTCGACCCTCGCCGATCGATACTACAGCGGGGGCACCGACACGACCGCGTTCAGCGTCATCAGTGCGTTCGGAGCACCGCGCCACGACTCTTTCTTCAGGTGAGCGTTGTTCCTGACTAACGCGGAAGGAAATATCTGCGGGAAAATATTCGTCGAGAGATCGTCGAGCGAGAGATCATCCTCCTCGGCTTTGTGCTTCTCTCCACTTTTAAGTGGAACGTAGAAAGGTGCGACGTCGGAGAGACGCGAAATGCCGTTAATAATGGCTCGGTAGGAGATCGAAAGGTGTGTGCGATGAAGCGACGGTAGGATTGCCGTATGTATAGTTTGATTCGGCCGATTGCTGAGAACGAGATGTGAAAAACTCCTTTCGATGGCGAGTCTCAATGATATTCAGGAAAAAAAAAAACGTTTACTTTGCTGCAATTATTGCGGTCGTGATTCGCGTAGAAAATGTGCCGCGTCAATCGTCACTTTCTCGGCGGGGATATGCAGCGTGATTGTGGGGATCAATGCGAATCGAATGTCTCGTTCTTCGCAGGAACGTAAAACGATTCATCTTGCATCTCGAAGCCATGATCTCTGCAATGAAGTGGATAAATAAATACCCAAGTTTTATAGCTCATAAACAAGTAGCGTGCGGCTATAGTGAGTGCACCTCTGACGCAGTCTTCAGTAAATTTGGTATTTGTTGTACAATCGAAACTGATACAATTTCGATGAAACTGTTCGGAGAAAGCTTGATCTCTTTCACTGGTCGTTTATCATGTCGATTTAATGATCCGCAACGAAGCGTGTTGATAAATACAGTGCGTTAAATATCGATTCGCGAGTCGTGCTCGAACTTGTGAGGCACAAACGAAATAAAGAATTTGGAACATTGAAAAATTCTCAAGAACCATTTATACTTTATTGTATAATCATTATGCTATTGAAACCGTTGTTTCAAGCCGGTCATTAGTCATCGAGAAATTAGCCGCCGGTTTCGTAACGCGCCGAGCACGTACGGCTCTCGTCTGATGCTGCTAGTCGGCAAAGCGCACGTAATGATCGTCGGTGCTCGGAGCTCGATTGCGGTTGTTGATTGCAGAAGTTCTTGAGAGGGAATAATTCGATAGTGAATCATCGTCTTTAATCATTTAGTTCACGTCAAGCAACCGTAATAGGTCGTATTCTTGAAAAGTTCCAGCATTCGCGTCGTCGAATAAGTGACCTACTTTTCCCATTATCCATTCGTTGCAATGAGAGACTGGTAGAGACCGTTCTAGGCAAGCGAGCAGACTAAATGTTCTTACGTGTTGATTAGATTAACTCTAATCCAATCAGACGCCGACGACATCAATCATTAAAAGTCAGATTTCTTTTTGATTGTATTTAACACATCTCATAATTTGCAACTTTTTACATAAACGTTTTAACCGGTGACATATTTTGATTTGCGCGACTTCTTTCAGCGCGAAATAAAATAAAAATATATAATTTTTAGAAAAAAATGTGAAATCAAAATTATCTTGCAAAATTGCTCGCAACAATACTTTTGAACTCATGCTGTGTATAAATATTAGAGTTGTTTATTTAACAAATCTAGTTGCAAGAACGCATTGAAATGGCCAAGTTGGAAGAAATTTGTTGATTCAACAGCACGTAGTTTCTCAACTTGCAATCTTCTGGCAAATTTAACGCAGAAACTCGTTTTGACTGGCAAAAGCCACGTTGTTAGAATATGGATATCGTAATAAAGATATTCTACTTGTATAATTTAAACAATATTGAAATGTCAACAAATTAACAGTCCAGTTTTGTTTCTCGATTCGAAACAGGGAATTACAAATCTAGAAAATACAAAATTAAGGAAGCTGTTAATTAAATAGCAAAAGGAAAAATACATACATTATTAGTCAACGTCTAAACAACACGGTAAATAACGTAATGACAGTACACACAGGTAGAGCTGCGTGCCAGCATGAAAAGAAAGCGTTGCACTGTGAAGGAATCTCATCTCTAAGATTCATGAGAAACCAGTTTTTCAACAGGTTTTGATTTAAAATTTCTGTCTGCTAGGTCCAGGAGCGTCTTGAGGATCCGCCGGTGCCTGTGGAACCGGTATGCTCGTCCGTCTGTGACATCGTCGACGAGGTGTGTCACGTCTTTCGAGCTTCCGGCAATCTGAACGCCAGAGAGCTGGTGAATCTTCTCAATAGCTCGCATCTGAAAGCGCTTTTGGAGACACACGACGCGATTGTGGAACGCAGAGGAGCATCTTCTGAGTCGAAGCCTTCCGTGGTGACGATGCCAACGAACAAGAAAGAAGAGGCGCCTATCAGGGTGGTCGGCTTTAGAAGACAACCAGATGAACCTTTGGTAAGTCAGCATACAGAGATAATTTTGCATCAAGTTAAATTGATAAAAATTGTTAATTAGTGTTCGAGAAAAGATAATCAATTAACTTTAATTTCAATCTACAAATTTGTCCTCTTCTTTATGTATTATAAAAAATGTTTTCTTAATTTTTCTGTTTAATAAGAATAGCGTAGTTATTAGTATTTAAGAGAAATATTTCAATTAAAATATGCGGAAAACTGGATTTAGAATTATTTAGAACGAGAGATTGAAAAGTTTATCGTGAGAGAATCTTTATCCTCAACTTAGTTCGCCAGATTCGCTCGAAGAAAAGATGGAAATGCTACTTGCAGTTCATAAACAAGTACGAATGTTTATTTCTCAGACAGGCGCGATTTCCAGTGCCATATGTTTCAGCGATTTTCCGCTACCGTGTGCTTTAAGATTCTTTAACACGCTGAAATGTGGTTAGCAGTTTTCTACATCGTCGGTCGATTGACGTTTTGTTTATCGTCACGCGGAGAAACCTTTGAACGTTTTGTTTATCGTCAAACGGGACGCTTATCTTTGCCTCTGCATTTTTCCAGGGACTAACAGTGCAGGTCGACGAGTCTGGAAACTTAATTATCGCCAGAATTCTCGGTGGCAGCACAGCGGCTCGTCAAGAGCTGCTGAGAGCAGGCGAAGTAATACTCGAAGTCAATGGAAAACGAGTTCGAAATCCCGAAGAGCTCCAACAGGCGATTCAAGACGCCAAGGACAATTTATCTTTGAAATTGGCTCCGGGCATCGCTTCCGATGCGAATCGGCTTCTCAAGTCCACGGTAAGTCATATTTCCGCCTCGATGCTCCCGATAACTGTCACGTTTTTGTCCTCCTTACGATGCTCATTCAGGTAGAGAAAATACAATGTCACGTCGTAATCAGAGCAATGAAAATCGTAATGATTCGATCGTCGTAATGACCTTGTCTAATTTATTGTTGCAGTGTTACATGAGAGCTCTCTTCGATTACGATCCATCGGAGGACACGCTGTTGCCTTGCAAAGAAATCGGCCTACCTTTTCAAAAGGGCGACATTCTCCAGATCGTCGATCAGGCCGATCCAAACTGGTGGCAGGCGCGAAGAGTGGAGGGCGAGAGTCTCGGCTCACCAGGTCTGGTACCCTCCTTGGAGCTGGAAGAGCGCAGAAAAGCCTTCGTGCCGCCCGAGGCCGATTTCGTTCACAAGATTAGCATCTGCGGTACAAGAATATCCAAGAAAAAAAAGAGGAAGATGTATCAATCTAAGTCGAACGGCGAATTCGACAGTGCCGAGCTGCTTCTCTACGAGGAGGTCGCTCGAATGCCGCCGTTCCGTCGCAAAACCTTAGCCCTGGTCGGTCCACGCGGCGTAGGCCGGCGGACCTTGAAAAATAGATTGATCAATAGCGATACCGATAAATTCGGCACTATAGTACCATGTGAGTGACGTTACTCTATAAATGTTTCATCTATCGATGAGTTAAGTAGCATTTTAACCAGCACCATCTTTTTTCCAGATACATCGAGACCGCCTAGAGTTCTCGAAGAAAACGGTAAAAGCTACTGGTTTACCGATCGCGAGTCCATGGAGACTGACATCAGAGAGCACAGATTCTTAGAACACGGTGAACACGGTGGACACCTGTACGGTACTAAATTGGATTCTGTACGAGAACTGATAAGGGCTGGCAAGATGTGCGTGTTGGACTGCAGTCCGGCCGCGCTCAAGATCCTCCATAACAGTACAGAATTTATGCCTTACGTCATATTCATCGCCGCACCCGGAATGGAGCAGCTGAAATCTTTATACGATCTCGGGAGGTCGACTGGTGCCAGCAGTCGGAATCTAACGGTATTTTCATGCAGAACTTAATTACATTTTATAAAAATTGCCTTCCCTACGTCTTTAATCTCCGTTCTTTAGAGCTCCTTCTATTGAATTATGTAATGCTAGCAACGACTTATTTGTTTTATTCAGTTTAATTTTATTCTACCAGTTTAGTTAATTCGTTGTATAAATTTGATGTTGGCTTTGCTAGTTCGACCGTCAGAGTTCCATCAGATACAGTTCCAGAAGAGCCAGAACGTTGGAATCCCTTGCATCTTTATATGAGGTTTGTATTGCATGATATTTATGTTTTAATTCAATGCCATTCCATTCGATCTTCATATGTGATTGTAATCCTAGCATGTATTTATAATATTTTTAATTCGCAAATGACGCTCTCATATGATTCTACTTATATCGCATTAAAGCATCATTTTTCTCGAAACAAAATTTATACAAAATTCATAAGTCTTACGATTAATTAACATTAAAAACACCCAATTAATTAATAATCTGTTTGATAACAGGAAGACGATTTGAGATCCACATTAGAGGAGTCCGCGGCCTTGCAAAGAGCTTACGAAAAGTACATCGACTTAGTGATCGTGAATGAAGATTTTGATAACACGTTCAGGCAGGTGATTGCAGCTTTGGATGCCTTAGCCACGGAGCATCAATGGGTTCCAGTTAATTGGATATATTAATTAATTTCCATTGGATGTCAGAAGAATCAAATCTGGACTCAAGTTGCCAGTTTTACGTGCGAATGGATAAAGGAATTTATTATTGCTAATGCGTCCGGAAATTACGAGATCTGTCTGCCGAGCAACTTAAAAAAAAGGCACGTGTAATCAGAGTACAAAGAATGTTACACATGTGCCGTAGAAAGCGATATTAATATGTCGCTCAAAGGGTGCAATCGAGAATCTCATTGCCGTTCATAGTTAACCACAACGTAGCGTTTACATTAATTCGTTATAGGTTTCCAAACGACCCGTTTTATTTATGGAATCCCATCGAATTTCTTTTTTTTATATATTAATATATACCGAATTATAATATAAAGGGAATTGAATTTTTATCCTTGATGAATCGGAATAGCAGTAGAGATAAAAGAGCTTATTTATATACATATAAATCATGTCGCGCGCTGCATTTTTTACTGCCAATTTTTACAACGACTGCAATTAACAACGGGTCGATTGATGTAAGTGTTAGACCGCCGTCCAATTAATTTTAGCGTATTTTTAATTTAGTTGATATTAACGATAATTTTCATACATGTATAATTATTTACTTCACCCGAATTGTTTCTTTTGTCCTATTTGCATTCTATTTCGTGTCTCATTTTGCTGCTCGTACATGCTAAGTATATTCCTGGCATAGAGTGCCTTAATAGCGCAAGCCTATGATTGGGCTGCTGCGAAGACCTACTATGTCGAGACACAGACGTTTTACAGTCGAATTTTACATAAGACAGAACTAATAACGCGTTTTCTAATCTCCGATGAACACTTACATATACACCCACATATGTATATATCTATACAGCACAAAACTTTTCAGCAACAATGCACTCTTGCAAGTCGAGGAATGCGTCTACTTTATAGATTAAAACGAATCATACAAATGCGTAACGACAGATTAAATATCTGTATACTGAATATCGAGACGCTTGTTCTGAAAAGCAATGTGATACACGATGTGGAATAAAGTTTAATGAACATTTGTTACGAATTAGAAACATAACACTGGGATTATTATTAACATCCTTTTCCACGATCTTTCTTCCAAACAATCTTTAAAACTATCACCACGTTATTATCATAATTTAATATAATTTTTATCTCCGTTATACATCCACAAACAAATATGTAATTAAAAGTGAAAATATATATGTATTTTTTTATATAGATGATGCTATGTATAGAATCTCTAGCAAGTAAAAGATAAGTAATACATTTAGGGAGCACATTGCAACAGTTTGGCGTCGATTACGTTCGCATTAGGGCTGTGTTTTTTAATATATTTCTTTATTGTTTGATTGAAAGTTAATGTTTGTAGCGCGAAAATTGCATGGTTCAATGCACAGCTGACCAGCTGATGGTAGCGTGTTGTGTCTGCCACGTTACAAGGTGGCAGGAGTCGGTATGCATGTATTGCGGGAAATATCAGCTCGCCGTGAAGTGCTTCCTGGATGTAGGAGCGTGCCGCGAACAGCCTTTCTCGTCGCCAGCAGCCAAGAAAATGCAAATACTACGGCAATTAGATGTACATCCGAAAGTGCGCGAGGAGGCTGACATTCTTGTGAGGACTTTCAGCGGTGCCATCGGTAAATACAATCAGAGAATCGTTGCTCAAAGCAACTTGTCAATTCCATCGACTTCTACGTTGACACCTGTCTCTATCTGCTCGTGACGAAAGCAGAGTTCGAGAATTTCCCATGAGTATATAAGTATTTATATTCTATTAAATAATATTTCGTTATGGTGCAGAATAAAACAGTGTTGACAAGTGGTTAACCTGCAAATTCTTTATTTCTGTTCTACTCTAAGATTTTAAATTTAAATCTTTTTTTTTTGTGTTCGTCGACATTTGCACGGATATTTGTGATTATTCTACGTATGCATTTCCTGAGATTTGACAAGGATCATTGTTTACATTAAGTCCATAGTAAATAAAGCCCAGCTTGACATACTGATCAATTTTGTTGAAAAACCAAGGACTTAATACCAATGCAAATGACAAAATATTGTCTTTTCAGTTACAATTATTAGTACAATCATCATGGGTATACTCTTTATGTCAGAAGTGAACTATTATCTTACACCGACAATGAGTGAAGAATTATTTGTGGACACATCGAGAGGTTCTAAATTGCGAATTAACTTAGATATAATAGTTCCCACAATATCTTGCGATCGTAAGTATAAAATATCCCTTGTAATATATACAAAAAAAGGCAATATAGCTTCTAACATTTCAATATTTTGCAGTTTTATCAATAGATGCAATGGATACGACAGGTGAACAGCATTTACAAATAGAGCACAATATTTTTAAAAGGCGGTTAGATTTAAATGGTAAACCCATGGAGGATCCACAAAGAACAAGTATGTGTATATCCTATTCTTCTTGATAATTTACATTATATTGAATAGCTCAGAAAATTATGTAAAAAGTGCTATATTGCAGATGTTACAGATGCAAAGGTTGTCAGTAAAACTACAGAAAAGGTAACAAAGGACTTTCATAAATATCTCCTTACTGTATGTCCGTTTTTATAATAGTTATTATTAACAGAACATTTTTACAGGCAGTGGAGATTGGTTCTACCACAGAAACTTGTGGAGATTGTTATGGAGCAGCCACGGAATTAATAAAGTAAGATTCTATCTATTAAAAATAAAATCTATTCATATTGATATTTACAAAATTCAATTATCGGCAGATGTTGCAACACTTGTGAGGAAGTGCGGGAAGCCTATAGACTTAAAAAGTGGGCCCTTCCTGACCCGGCTAATGTTAAACAATGTCAAAACGACAAATCGATGGAAAAAATTAAACATGCCTTTACACAAGGCTGTCAAATTTATGGTTATATGGAAGTGAATAGAGTTGGTGGAAGTTTTCACATTGCGCCAGGAGACAGCTTTTCTGTGAATCATGTTCACGGTAAGTTAACCAAATTTTAAAATTCTTTATAATGTTCACAGCTACTTTCACATAGTACTTGTTCTTTTTTATGCTGCAGCGCATGATGTTCAACCTTACACTTCAACTCATTTCAATATGACATATAAGATTAGGCATTTAAGTTTTGGGCTCAATATTCCTGGAAAAACAAATCCTATAGATGATACTACTGTAGTCGCCAAGGAAGGTATGTCTTTATTTCTTAAACCTAATTTTATTACGAAATCAGTAACTTGTTTTTACATTACGAACAGTTGCAAGTGAAAGATCAAAGAATTTCATAAATAGTTCTGTACATACTAGCATCGAATTCCTGTTCCAATAGCCATAAATGTACCAAACGTACCACCACCTTGAATCATTACTTTGCCAACATTATTGAACAATTCTCTTCCTCTCAATCCGTATCTGGTAATGAAACATTTTACAATAAAACATTTTATAATACATGCACTTAAGTCACACAATACGCGTGTATATCGCTCTTTATATAAAGTGATACCTAAGGGCAGAAAATCCTCCAAAGAGTGCACCAGAAGCCATTCCTACACAAAATCCAATTGTAAAACCTATTTTCATTCTATCAAAGCAAGAAGGTCCTTGCTGGTAGGCTCCACCTGGTACTACAGGCATTGTGCAATCTGCAAAACAATTTTAAATGTCAATTTTTATTTCTCGTTCTGTTTTCATTTGTCGCAGGCTATTTTCAAATTTTAACTCATAACTCACGATAAAAGGAGACTTGACAAATTCACTTTTCCTCAATTACTTTATGGATTTGACCTCATAAATTAAAACAAATACTTAAAATTCTATATAATTATTCGATATAATTATTACTAGATATATTTTTACAAAATTTGTTGTACACATATAGCATATAAGATCATTTAATTATGAACATTTACTGTTAAAAGGTTATGTAATTTTATGTCGACTTACGATCGATTGGATGTGTTTTATTTACTTTTTAATTTAGGAATTTAATCGCGATTCTGTGCGACTGCCGGAGATAATCAACGCATTGCACTCGTATCACAATATCGGGAAGGTGCCATGATGAAATTCGCGACGTGATAAAATACGACTGCGCTGTCTGCTATTTCCGTTTCCTCTAACATGACTCGATGGCGGAAAATTTGAACTGTATATAGGACAAATACAGTAATAGGAATTTTACTTTTTAAAGAATAATACTTTATAGGAATGTGTGTGCACAATTTTATTATTTAAATAAAAAAATTAGAAATTATATTTATAAAAATATTAATTTTTTAATTTTTTTAAAGAATACACACAAATTAAGAACTTTTGTACTTTTATGATTAAATTAATGGATTTTTTTTAAATTCACTTAGGATTTAATTTCACAGATAAATTCCTTATTTAATCCTTTTTCAATTATTAATGTAATTAACCTAATTACATGCTAGAAACAATAATACACTCTAATTTAAATCGAGTAACTAGAAGCCTTGCCATTAATGCAGTTATTTTGTTTTCAGGTGCTATGATGTTTTATCATTATATCAAAATCGTTCCGACGACATACGTCCGTGCTGATGGTTCAACCCTTTTTACAAATCAATTCTCCGTAACGCGACATGCAAAGCAAATATCTCTATTAACTGGCGAATCTGGGATGCCGGGTATATTCTTCAATTATGAGCTAAGTCCACTCATGGTAAAGTACACAGAAAAGGCAAAATCATTCGGGCACTTTGCGACGAACACTTGCGCAATCATTGGCGGTGTATTTACCGTTGCCGGATTGATCGATTCGTTGCTGTATCATTCAGTGCGTGCAATACAGAAGAAAATAGAATTAGGAAAGTACAATTAATACTTACATCTGACTGTAGCAACATTGATTACTGTTAATCCTAACTCTATTTCTTCGTAGATACAAACGCGTTTGGACATGAAACTTTCAGAAGTTCAATGTCAAGTAAAGTTGTGAAAATGATTTAGGATTAATATTAATCTCTAATGCGACGAGTCTTAGGTAAATGATTTAAGAACTATGGCAAGTATTATTAATTATGGTTCTGCGGGAGCATCAATTTTCCATCGAAGATTGAACTTTTTGACATAGATTTGTGCATTTAACATTAAATGTGATTTAAATGTGTATTGATTCAGTGTTTGTATTAAAAATTATTACATACCAATTTTTTTTTAGAAAAAATACATAGGTAAAAATACAGTACAATGTGAAAAAAGAAAACAATATGTAATAAAGTGACACATGCGCTATCTTTTTTAACTTATTTAAAAAAACGACATGGTAATTATACTTGCAACAAATGTTAATATAAAAAAATTACTTGTATATGCAATGTACATAAAATCAACGAGTATATAAAAAAAATTTAAGTCTTATGGAAACAAAAATGTATTGCCAAAAATAAATTGAATAACAGGTTTGTAAAACATTTGTCAGAATTTATTTATAATTATTATTATATACATATTATGAACATGTTTTTAGAAATGCGTTATAAACTTCAACAGTCGTCTTTGCAATGTCTCTACAAAAGTCCACGTCTGTACCACTAATTAAAGCTCGTGGTGAAACATACATTGGTTTAGAAGGATCATATTGTGCTCGCTTCATTTCTACCAAGAACAAATGCCTCTGTTGGAGTCTAGTTTTTCTACAAAGTAAAATTTGTGGCATTTGCACAATAAAATCACGCTGCAATTGCATTTTGTCGTGAGCATACTCGAATGTATTTAACAATCTTTCACGATCTGGAAACAATTTAAAAAGTAAGAAAAAAACATTGTGTTAATGAATCCTAAAATTATATTAATGTATGCTTACTTTTTGTCCATATTCTTGGTATTTTAAGGAGCAGTTTTTTCATTTGCTTTACATCAAAACCCATCTCTTCTTTGATGGTGAATGTGTTTTCCATTAAATGTACCATTTTATATGTTACTACCTTGGGTCCTTTAACTGTCAAGATCCTCACTTCACTACCATTGAGTTTGAAATTGTGTTGAAAATAGCCAAGTCTACCATCTATATCGTTTGTTTTATACAACAGCCACTTGGGATTTTTACAGATTATAGTTTTTATCATATCCATGCTAAATTCGTGTGCTCTCAAATATCTTATTCTTGTGTGTAGATCATTCATGTCTTCTTTGAAGATCTTGGGATTCTTTGTGAGGAATTCGCCTAAATAATCAGCAGGTACACCACAATCATGCAGAAATCTTATGTATGGTTTCACATCCTTCTCAAAATCGAGACCAAGAATATACTGTACCATTCCCTCGTGTGATTCAAATTTATACAGACCGACTCCAAGCTTTACCAACTCTTGGATCGTGCGAGACTTGTTTGCATATTTCGCGAAGGAAAAAGTCGGAGTAAAATATGGACCAATATCTGATAAATCTTCAGTGCATGTGTCCAAAGGTTTTGATAATGTTACATCATGATCGTCAAGAAAGTCCTCATCAGATAAATTAATAAATTGCTGATTGCACGAAGACGGAGTCGTGTTTAATCTATCTTTTACATCATGTTGACATTCCGCTAAATTATTCAGTTTGATATCAGCTTGACTTTTATCATTCTCTACCTGTGTGTACTGTTTGAGCCCATTATTTCTCGAAATAAATCGTGAGATTAAATTTACTGTAGCCGGTCGTGCCGCTGATATGAGCGAGTAATATCGTTGAAATGGCATATTCAATATTATAATATTATCACGTCATTATAAAATTTAATTGCTGAATTTCTTACTTAAAAATATTCTTGGCATAACAAGATTCGTAAACATAACCTTGTCTAAATTTAGTGACATCAACTTTCTTTCTAGTTATTTTTTTTTTTTACATTTACAAACCTGAATATCATGTATGGAGTATTTATCTATCTAATAATGGCAACCCTGAGTTCAACACTCACTTCGTGCTTTTCCCACACGAGGTCTTTGTTCAATCTAACCTTCAGGAAACTGTCAAACACTATATTCATCCCTAGAAAATAAATTTCCTTATTGGATATCGGATGTCGGTACGTCGGCTACAGGCTCGCGTAAACTCTGTGACGATCTCGTAGAATCCGTCCAGTCAGTTAGTCGCGAGTCGCGCCGGTGAGTGTGAGAATAGGGTGTGTGCGAATTCTTTTCTCGAATGCGCCCGTCTTTACCTCGTCTTGTTTTGACGTTTTCTTGTCATCATCGTGATAGTCGTGAAATCTGTGCATTGAAACATAATGTCAGGCAACGACCCAATGTTCATAGCTACGGACAGCATTGATGGGATTTGGCCGTTCCTGCAGAGCGTAAGTCGTCTCTAATCATTCTCCTTTATTATCACTCCTCCACTTCGTTACGGCAATTTCGTTGTTTAATGATTTTGTTTCACAGTGTTGATAGTTTCGTAACTCACGTAACCTGGTTTTTTCCCTACTTAATGCGGCTTATTTTATGGCCTCCAGCGATATACATTCATCATTCACAATGTCATTCTCTTTATTTATTCAAGCACGCTGATTGCATCAACGACACCAGTTGTTAACTCGAAGTATTTTTACGTATCGTAAAATTAATGTTACATTCTAGAAGAAACACGCAATTTACTTAAATAAAGCGGTTAATTGGATTTGGTTGCGCAATCCTCTTTGCGAGTTAACGCCAGGTACGACCGGATGTTATTTCAATTTTACTTACGTGATACGAAAATCTTAATGATTACCGTGGATTCAACTCTAAACGTATAAATTACAAAATTATCTTTTTAAAACTATGTTTTACATATCCATTTTCTTATCCATATCATAATTTAATACTTGCATGAGATTTTTTTACTGGTTAATTCACAGGTTTGTTTTTTTGTCGTTGCATTACGATGCATATTTTTTGTACGAATCAATTAATTAAATATGCATTCGGAATGTAATAGAAGTGAGAAAGATAAAGAGACAGGAAAAAAATTGCAAGATGCTAAACGTGTGATTAAAAATAGCAATCAAGTGTATTCGTTAGTCGTATTTTTTCGATAAAAAAATGGATACGCATTTTATGAATTAAATGTAACTAAAACAAACACAGATATAATTGTCTAGATTATAATCTCGAAAAGGATACAGTATCAAGTATTAAAAAATATTGCAAAGTAATATCGCATTCTAAATAAATTCTTAATTGGCGATTTTGCTTGCCGGCGCACTTTCGATTTCGATACAGCTGGCTATTTGTTTATCTGCCAATTCACACGTTGTATTACATCAAATCAAAATCGCGTCGCAATTTTATCTTATCACCGACATCACCTATATTGCAAAACACAATCGAAAATAGAATGCAAATTCGGTCGATGCATCTGGCAATTTTCCACTTTCTTATTGTTCAGAATAAAGAGGTGAAAAATCGCCGATTACTCTATTTTCACATATGCCGTTCCGTTTTCTCAAGGACATGCCGCATTGAAATGTAATCACGCGGAAACACAATATCCTTCGATGTAACTTCTCCAAAATCTCTGGATATTTTTAAACAACTATCGCGCTTTCGAATGTAAACATTTCACGATCAAGTTTCCTTACTCCATTACAATAAGATTGCGTGATTTGCGTCAATAAATATATTGCTAGAATGAGGAAGATAAAATGTGTATTACTTTGCTTTTCCAAGTTTGCTAAAAGCAATCGCAAAAATATATTAGATACACTGAAATAAGTGAAGTAATGCAAAGTTATAAAAATAGAATTTTCCCTACACATTTAAAAAATGTCTTTTTTTATATGTTAATTTGATTGATTAATATTTTTACTCACATTGTTATTTTGTACTACTAATGTATATTATTCTATTACAGATTGATTGGAGGGATCCATGGCTAGCTGTATTAATAACATTTCACATTGCCATCACATTAACTGCATTAATGACGAGGAATCACGCAAACTTTCAGATAATTCTATTTCTTACACTATGTAAGAGTTTCATTGCAAGTACCATAAGCATTTTAATCTATTTCTAGAATATTTCTATACGTTATCTCTGTTTTAGTACTCCTGGTTTATTTCTCAGAAACCATTAATGAGGTGGCAGCGACAAATTGGATGTACGTATTGGTCACAGCTGTAAAGCATATTAAAACGATTCTTTCAGACTTTTAACATGATTCAACAATCTTTGATTTTACAGGGTATTTTCTAGACAGCAATATTTTGATTCCAAAGGCTTATTTATATCTCTTGTTTATTCCATACCTATTTTAATAAACTGTATGATTATGGTGGTAAGTATAATTTTATAGTACTATTATATTTTGAGACGTAACTTTGTCACTGTGTCCTTGAAGCTTGATTACATGCACGATTGCGCGCAATTTTTAGGCCAGTTGGCTTTATCAATCCAGTCAATTAATGACAAGCTTAAAACGGGCTCAGCTGCGACAGCAGGCAAAAAATCGCCAATTAGACGATGAAGCAGCGAATGGTAGGATGGCTGACCGACCGAAAAACGACTGAAAATTGGATATCTAGTCACACACATAACGCGAAAGAATAAGGATACAAGAAACATATATTATTTAATTTAAAGACAAAATAACAAATTATATCTATATCGACTTACAGTTAGGTAGGTTTCACAGAGCATTGTGTATACTTGATTATTGCCCATTAAACAATTGCTCCGATTTCAATTACAAACATATGTATATATCAATGCAATCATTGAATAATAATGCACATCAGAATTGCCTAGTCATACTTTGTTAGAACGTATCTCCAACATTGTACGTTACAACGATTTTATAAAGTATCACTTGATGCAGGACATGAAACTGTATTAAGATATATGAGAGATGATTAGCCATGCGATAAATAATAACCATGCAGAAACATGCAGTAATGTGACGAAATATACTGTTATCTTACCATTAAGAAACATTCCGTTAGTTTATACTCGTTATTTCGTCATCCTTTGAGAACTGGGTTGAGTGATTAAATCCTTATAAATTTTTTTTAAGAAAAATTATATTTTCAAAGTTTATTTTGTTTGTATATATTTTTATTTTCACCAGTAAATTTGCAGGTTCCATGCACTATAATATCTTTCCACTTGTCTGCACTATCTAACGCATCTAACGTCACTGTGTCAATACTTGAAGATTTTTAAAGCTTTTATTTGATAAAGCAATAATAAGCTTTATTCAATGTCCTCAAATTGAACAATAATATTAAAGAGTGTCGCTTATATGTACATCAGTCATCAGTTCTCAGAGAATGAAAATACGATCGTGAATCAAAGTGTTCTTAATGTGTAATTAAAGTACTTATTACATAATATATGCAAGCATACATCACACTTTCACCATAATAGTGCTGTAAAGAAGCATAATACATAAGTAAGGGTCCTAGGACACAATAAAACGTGTATGCATGTATATGTGAGTGTGAATATGAATTCTGCGAAGGCAGATCATAGTCTTTCGAATCGTTCTTTGTGATTTCGTGGAAACGTGAAATGTCTGAAGAGTGTTGTATAGAATGTCGTTCCCTGAGTTGTATATTAATGTAAATCAAAGCGCATTGTCTTGCCGCCTTTATATTTAATACGCGACTAACCATTTTAAAATAAAGTATTTGTTTGTACAACTTTGCATTTTTCCTATTTCAGTTTCCTTCACACGATGTGACTACAGATTTGTAAATCTTATTAACTGATCTCACTAAGTGGAGTGTGTGCATTTTTATGTGTTTTCTTATACTTAATATATTACAGTGATTCGTAAAGATGCAACGTGAATTTCAGATTTGTTATCAATGTGCTAAATTGACTTAGGAATAAGTGCATCAATGAAACTAATGAAAAGTAAGTTTTAAAGGTATTTTTAATTATTGTAATTTTTCATAATTTAGAATTATAATCTTCTAAGAAAGTATTATTATTTAATCCATAATTTTGTATTTAATATTTGCTTTTCCTACACTAATAAAAAATTTTTTATGAGAGAACTATTATATAGTTAGCAGTTTGTCTATAAATATGGACTGCCATTTACTATATGAATATAATTAAGTCTCATAATTAATCCATGTTCTATATCACTAAAAATTGCATTTTGCTAGAATGTTTGCTAGAAAATTCTATGTATTAAAAAATATTAACCAATATTTATAAAGCTGTATAGTCATATTTATTGTAAATTTATACAAAATGTATATACAATATACGATGTATATTAATATTTCTACATACATACTATACATATCTTTACCTAATTTTTAAAATTTATATTTTCGAAATAATTACTTATCTGTTCGAACGATAACTCATGATGTATCGAATTGTTCAAATCATGGACTTCGAATAAAGGTACCGATTTGGTTGCTGCTTTGCCAATAACAATTATGTAAGGATAGCCTAATGCACGCGCAAACATAAATCGTTTACCAATTGTAAAATGTGTACGGTCGTCCAATATTACATCGATATCGTGTTTGCAAAGAACATCATACAATTGTTCAACGTAGACAGATGTACTTTCTTCTTTACTTCCATCCTATAAATCAGTTCGATATATAATGAAGCAAATTCGTTGATAAAGATTCCAATAAATATCTTGATGAAAACACATTTATGTTATTACCTTTGGTGGTATGATACATGCTGTATATGGTGCTAATTTCACAGGCCACCTTATTTCATTATTTGTTGATAAGGTTTCAACAGATAATGCAAGGATACGACTCAATCCGAGACCAAAACAACCCATCACTACAGGTTTCAATTCATTTTGTTCCTTATACATTGTTTTTAATGGCTCCGAATATTTTGTATTTAATAAAAATGTATGTCCTACCTGCAATTATCATATTTATATGAGCTATGCTCAGCAGAGTTCTCAGAATATTATATTAAAAAATTGTATTTTAGAAGTTAAATTAAATTTCTTTTAAACAGAAATTCTTACATTACCTCAGCAGAAGAATTTTGATGTAGTTCGCTTTTACACTCTGGGCAACTTGTTGTCTCGGAAACAGTTTGATTAATGGAAAAATGACACGATGGGCACTGAAATATAATATCTTCACCAATATCAGATATGTAATGATATTCATGTGACATTAAGCCTCCAATTGTTCCCACATCACCTATGACTGTTAATAACTATTATCAAATAATTTGCCAAGTATAAGTCTTTCTAATTTTATGATTATGCATCTATAAATACATATTATATGTGTATGTGTAATTATAAAAATAGTGAATACCTCTTGCGTATTTTATACCGATCTGCTTAAAAATATTATTGTAAGATTCACAGACTAAGTCATATGTATGTCGTGCGTCATCCAAAGTAGCATCAAATGTATACAAGTCCTTCATGATAAATTCTCTGCTGCGTAGAAGACCAAGCCGTGGCTTCATTTCGTCTCGCCATTTGCTAGAAATTTGATATAACCTCAAGGGTAATGATTTGGTATGAATATGTCCTGTTGATGATATTAAGTCACAGATAGCTTCTTCATATGTCTATAATAACATAGAAATACTCGACAGTACGCTTTATTGTAAGCTTTATATATTATGGAATAAAATGACATATTTTAAATTATTTGAATCATTTAAATATAAACTGGCATAAGTAGATAATAATAGTAGTAAGATAGTATGACATTTTTTTCAAACAATTTTTAAGAAAATAATTCTAACTTAAATGTACAATAGCATAATCCTTGCTAATATATTACTTACTGGACTTAATATGTATTCTTTCTCATGCCTATCTTTAACTGTAAATAATTCAGGTTTGCTAGAATTGTATCTATTAGATTTCTTCCAAAGATTGGCAGAAGTTAATGTTGGAAGCAGTACTTTTTCTGCGCCAAGATTTGCCATTTCTTTATCCACCAAATTTATCAATTTATTCAAAATTCGCATTCCCAAAGGCAACAGTGCATACATACCAGTGCTAACAGGTTTAATAATTCCATAACTGATCATTAGCTGAAATTGTAATAAAAATTCTATGAACAAATAATTTTATTGTTGAAAATAATATTAATCTTACATAGCATTAAAATCTAAAACTAAAATTTTATATCGGTTTCAATTTTAAGTTTATATCATACTAATAGGAATTATAAAAGCAATATTTAGTTATAATCATAAAAAATATCTTTTTGATATAGATCTGAAATAAGTCTAACAAATTTTGTAATAAATTTGAATGTTCAACATATAAATAATTGTAAATATTAAAGAATTGTGTTAATTTATTCCTTGTATTAAGAAAACGCTAACTTATTATTTTGAAAATATACATACCTTATAACTTTTAGATATTTTACTTTCTCCAGTATCGAGTAATCCGGTTGTCATAGGTTGAAATATTTTTGACATTCTACTTAAGTTAAATGTTTTATTTGCCATTTTTAACTATGTCTATCAATATACACACGAAAAATATCCGAGTTACACGTGTTTAAAAAGTAGATTACTTCTATTCGATGTAAACATAGTGATCCAATAGTGATCAAAGAGGTGTAACTGGTTGTAACCAGTGACGCCAGATTTGAGACGCAAGCAGCAAGCAACAGGGAAGGGTATATCGCAGCATGCGCAAGCCACGTACATGTGAGCTTCTCGCTTCAGCCATGTTGGAACGCTCCATTTTAGTGGGATTTTATAAAATTGTTAACAGGAACACATGATAATAAAGGAGCGGTAAGAGCTCACTCGGAGTAGTGTCATCTTTTGTTTAGCTAAACGACATAACGACTGTATCTCTGTGGTAAGTGTACCGACTAGTGGCACTGCTTTGAGTGAGCTCCTACATCATCGTGTGCTCCTGTTAACAATTTTTCAATTCCGACTAAAATAGAGCGTTTCTAGTCGGCCCAGCGGGTAATCTTAATTTTTCTACATGTTTCTGGGCTACTGTTGAGTGTTAGGATGCTTGTAAAATACTTGAATAATTAAAACGTCTTTTAAAATTTTTGGAAAATTTTTGTTGCAAAATTTAAAATGTCAATTGTTAAAGACATTAAAAAACGACGTCTTTTTAAAGACATTTTTAGGACATCTTAAAGATGTCTTTTTTAGGACGTAAAACTTTATAAGAGAGTTTATCTGAATGGGTTCAATCCCAATATTTTCTTTTTCTCATGATTAAAAGAAAAATCTTTAAGAAATTTAGAAAAGATGCCGGTTGGAAACTTAGGAAAAGAAATTAGGAATTTAGGAACATACATTACATAGTAATACAATAACCAAAATGTTGAAAATATATTGCAATATATACGCTTTTACATTATGAAATATTTGAAAGCTCTTCTAATATAGTTTGCGTATCTAATGTATTAAGATCTATCGAAGTTCGTGTATCCACTATCACTCCAGTTACCTGTGAAAATAATAATGTTTAAAATATATTTAATATTTATCAAATTTTAATGAATATATATGTATGTATATTATTCTTATGTCACAAGTTTTATATCAAACAACTTACCATATACACATTTGGATGGCATACTGGGAGATAAAGTATATAAATTAATAGATTCTGTTTAATTACCATTTCCTCAAAGAACGCAGTATGATTAGGTTTTTCAGAGTATCTCTCGTATTGATCCAAATTATCCTGTAGTTTTAAAGCAAGACTGTCATAATTTTGTATTATAACAGCTAAAATTTGTTGTTCCGTTGGTGTGGATAAGCTTTCCTTCGCTAGCCAAGCAGCTATTTTTGGTGGGAAATGATTTACTATATCTCTCACATTGACAAGAGAGTTCGTTAATTTGAGTGCGTATCCTTTATACTCGTACGACTCACTGGTTGAATACCTAAGTGCTAAGATATTTCCACATTTTCTCATGATAAAATATCATTCTTTCATTTGTGACATTAAAAAAATTTTTACATCTACTTTTATCAGCTACTTACCCATAGCATTTAAATTAGTAAAAATAAGTCTCATACGAATAATTTCGTAAAATAATTCATCATAACTGTTGGGTGATGATAGGAATGTATCAGCATATGTAATAAAGAAATTTAAAATGTTTACCACCTATTAGAGAAATAGAAATATTATCTTGTTTGATTGTACAACAACGCAGTTCCTTAAGTATCTTATTTACCTGAATAGCTAAAGGAAATATGTTCATTTTCTTGATAAGATGGCTTTCATGTGTCGTTAAAAATTTCAGTAGATTGATTAACGCGGTCCAAAGATCTCGCCATTGATAACCAAGCCTAACGCGACATCTTTTCTGATAACACAACAGCCTTTGTAAAACGCCAATACATTGATGATATAATTCGAGAGGAAATTTCTTCATCATATGCGATGTTATGAACTCGACGAGCAGATCTATAATTTAATAATACACACAAATAATCTTTGTCATAATACATTTAAAATGAAGCCATATAATATTTTATAAGCTTGGACACTAAAGCCTGTTTTAATATGATTTCTATTGCACTCAGAAAAATCAACTGCAACTTCTGCAACATATACTGAAACATACCAAGTAATGTAGCTGCAAGTGGTTGAGCGGGTGCTGCCTTATCCTGCAATTTTCTATGATGCATGGGCACTCTGTGTAATTGAACTCTGAATGCTAAATTCGCATCATGCATCAAACTGTTTGCATACTGATCTTCCGCGATACAGCTTAATATTAAAAAACATAACTTTACATTATTCATTATGGCCTCTGTTCTAATAACTTGCATAACTATCGAACTGTAACACAAACAGATGTTTCACAATTATTAAATAGTAAATTATCAAATATTTAGTAATTTTATTAATCTCTATTTTCTCACCAATATTGCAAAAACGTTGCCAGTAAATTGAACGGCTGAGCTAGCACATCTGGCGAGGAAGCACCAGGGGCCACTGCGTTTGGGCCCAAAGTGTTATTCGGTGATGGAGGTGCACTAGTATCACTTTGCGTGTAGGCCAAAGTAGTTACAAAATTACGATTTAAATGTGTCGCCTCGTAAAGAGCCAACAATAAAGCATTATTTGCACGAACTTGTTGCGTTTTTGTTTCTTCTTCTCCGACAAACATACTACCGACTATACTAGTTAGTGAAGACAACCAAGACGTCTGTATCTCTGAAAATATCACATTATATTACTGCCCTAAAAGTCATTTGCGCATGATTGTACATCGTATTATATTAATATCAATATAGAAGATACTTTAAAAGTCGCCCATTCCTTTACTCTTCAATACCTGCTCTTTGTTGAGCAAATTGTCGGCAAAACTCTGTTAATGAACTTGATATAGCTTGTCCATATCCATTAAGAGCTAACTCGTCGTCCAAAATTGATAATTTAACGATATAGGGATTTGCACTTTCGTATTTTCTGTAGTTGACTAGAAGCGTTAATAACAAAACTGCGTCATGACCATGACGATTTCTAGCAGCTGTATCTCTCAATAACTATGCAATAAAATAAAATAAGCTATTGTTAAAATAAGTTTAAATGTTGCATTTATAAAAATTTCACTTGAAAAAATGTAGAAAAATAATAACTCATAAATGTTTAACATACTTGAATTAATGATTCAAAAACACTGTTTAGCATCACATACTCCAGTAAGGTATTTTGGCTGATATTATCCATACCGGTAACTATTATTAACAATAATTTCAGGCACAAAGCTTTTAAACTATCTGGATATTCGCCTAAAAACCAAATTTTTCTTATTATTTTTTGTATTTTATACAAAATATTTTTAGATTATTAAATTTTCTAGAATCAAGCATGTTTAACAGAATTATTTAAACTTTCTGAAAAAAATGTCTGCTATGTAATTAATAAAAAAAAACTCTACAATTATGTATAATCCAAGTAAAACATAATAGTTATATTATGATATTGTTGCTACATATTTTACCTGTTAAAAAAATTATTGCAATGTTGCATTAATGTTGTCATCCTTTGCTCAGCAGAATCAAAGCCTACAAGAATGTCTATTAAATTAAATCCATAGTCTCCTTGATTGGCTTTCTTGTACATAGATTGGATAACTGCTGCTAAAGTCTGCAGAGCATATACTATTCTAAATGGATGCTCGTCAACTAATGTGTCAACACAATGGCACACCAAAGCATTTAGATTTTCTTTACTAGCATTTAATTGTTCCGATGTCATATGTAGAATTTCATTTTCGATATGAGGTACCTAAAACATTATATTATGCATCTCTAATCAACATAAATTACATAGATAATATCTTTTATCGATCATATACTTAGTGTTGCTTTAAACATTACTGTTTTAAGCAAAATGTATTTAATATGTTTATTGAAAAATATACTAATAATATATAATAAAAATATACCATAGGTTTAATGAGAAACAGTTCATTCCAAAAATTTGGGTGAGCTAATGTTAAATCTTCTCCTTTGAAAAAACTCTCATAGATTGGTACTAGTTTGCATTTGTGTTGACGTTTGGCACCAGAGCCGCTCCTTTTTCTCATAGCCATTGGTATAGTAAATTACTTTCTGCTCATAATCAGAATCTAGAAACACATTTAGAATTAATTGTATTATGAATATAATTTTTCCATAACAACAAATATAAGATATTCACAACTTTCTATTTTTCTAGAATTGATTTCTAAAAGTTTGAGAGAAATATTATATATCTTACATATTTATTCAATTTTCTTCTTTCAAAGTAAAACATTGATACATATATATTTATAAAACAAATCTCAGACCTTATTGTAAAATATGCATTTAAAACTTCAATATAATGTTACAAGGTCTAAATAAACCAATTTTAAGATCTATTGTGAACTGTTATCAAATTGTAAAATATGATTAAAAATAATATATTACATATTAATCAGAGTTAATTCTCACCAAACTTTTTAATACTTAGAAGAGTTATGTATCATACGAATAATTAAAATGTAACGGAGAAAATTATTGTTTTGTAAAAATATATGGTTAAAAATAATATTTCAGGTTAGGGGACCGCCCTGTCACGCCACACTAAGCTAAGTTAAACCTTCAATATCAAGGACGATGTAAATAGAATATTCTGTTTAAAAAGTGAAGCCAAAAGTTAGCAGTTCATGAGTAAGAGAAATAGTTAATTTGTAAGTGTTTAACTCACTCTCTCTTATAACAAGATGTCACTTTTTTTAGTTAGCATTTTGCGGCCTCTTACTATAGGTCAGAGCGAGATAAAGACTTGTAAACCAACTATCTTTCTCGGTTTTAAATTGCCTTCCCGTTTCGCTTTCAAAGTATATGAGATAAAATATTTGTATATACAAAAAAATGAGTTATTTTTGATAGATTTTTGTAAAATGTTTATAAAAAAAATTAATAAATAATACAACATGCAAGATATAAAACTCATGATTGCAGGGGGATTATTTATACATAATCTTCACAATATTCCCTTTTCTTATAAAATTTTATTTTGTAAATTGTATAAGTTCGTATAAATTGCACATTATATTTAGTAATATAATCAATATACATTTTTCATAAACTTTTATAGATTATTTCTGAATTTTTAAAGTAAAAATTTGAAACAAATAATTGATAAAATAGTAAATATGTAAAATGTAAATAATTGATAAAAAAAGTAACAAATTGATTTATTGCTTTAATTTAACTTTAACTATGTGATATGCGTTGCACAGCAATCCTCTAAGATTATAGATATTTGTGAAACTTTCAGGTTGAACATTATATGCAGAATCAACTGCTTTTGCCCAAATTTCAGTCTCATTAACATTTTTGTCAACAGGAAGCTCCACTTTCCATAATGACCAGCTCCAGTGTCGACTTTGTTTTGCCTTGAGATCTTCTGTCAAATGTGCTGTGTGCCATGTCTTTCCTTTAAATAGTAAGAAAAAATTGTAATTAAAATTTGAAAAAAATTGATGAGTTAGATTGAATTAGTCTCATTACTTTTTTCTTACCTTTGTCATTTGTTACATCGACACGAATGATCTTTCGACCACCACCAGACCATGCGTAACCTTAACAAATCAAGTTTATTATTTTTATGATTTATAATAACGTTGCATATAATTGTCTCATTTTTATCTTTACCTTTCACTTGTATTTTTCCATTCTTAACTTCAACTACTTCTGAATTTTGTGGATCGCATATTGCAGATATTACAGGCATTTCTTGTATCGCGGGCGACTTACTAAAATCTACATTGTCCCAATCTGTGCTTGGTGAAAATCCTTTATAGTCGCCCTGTTGCCACTGTGACTGACTTTCCTTCTTTGAAATACAAATTTTACCTATTGATTAAATATTTTGAAGATTGTAAGTACATGTTCAGTAGGTATGTGCAATCAAATTAATTTTGAAATTTTCCATACTAAGCCATTTAACATTTCTGGCGCCAACAACACCAGGAACAATTACTCGAATCGGAAATCCATGATCTTTGCTTAATGGTTCACCGTTCATTTCATAAGCTAAAATTACATCTCCCTTCGGATCCATAGCTTTGGCAATAGGAATACTTGCACCATATGGTGTGCCAGATGGATCTAAATCGTATCCTTCAAACTGTTAAAATGAACAAATGTCATCAATGCATTTTTAATGTAGATTGCTGATTATTTACAAGTATACAAGATATATCACAAGTTATGATTCTATTTCAGAGGAGAGACTTTCTCTCAACATTTGATATGATAACAATTGAAACTAGAATTAGAAATATAAAAACTAAACCAAATAGAAAAATATTTTTCTACTTAATTTCTAAAAAGTAAATTGAGCTTACAGTTGAGATAAAATACATAACTTTTACAACAGCTTGCAATTCAAGATAATATTATAAGTTATTTTTTCTGAAGAAAATACCTGAACATGATCAAATTCATCTTCATTGATTCCTAAATCTTTTAATACGTCACACAATCGTGCACCAGCCCATGTTGCATTTCCAACAGCACCAACACTCCAGTTGATACCTTTCAATTTCTTTACCTATGAACAAATTAAACAATTATATAAGTGCTTGTTGTTAACTTGAGCATTTCAAACAATAATTCTTTAAATTTACCTTTGACATGTCTGAACGTCTGTTTCCACCACACATGACAGCAGCTGTTACAGTATATTTTTTATACTTTGTTATTGCTTTAAAGTCAAGTGTCTTTTTTATTTTTTCTTCTATCGCTAATTCTAATGTGTAATCTTTTAAATCTATTTCTGGCACTGGTAAATGATTTCTAACATAAAAAAGATCACTGAAAAAAAGATGCAACATTAGCATACATGTGTATAAAACATGAATTATGAAGAAAAGTAATTTGTATATATATACTTACACTGGTGTAAGAAAACTCTCAACCAATACTGTAGATGGTGGTTCCGCACAAAAAGGTTTACTACCATTTACTATTAAAGCTTTATGCCTGCTAGGTTCCTTTGCATATGGATCATGCAAGTCGTTTTCATCATTTTTAGCATCTTCTTCTGATATATTACCTATTCTCATGGATTCTAACAATGAATATATTTCAGATGTTTTGTGATTTGCAAAAATTGACCAAAAGGGATCTATTGAACTTCCCGCTGCCATCATGATTTTTGACGAACCACCTGGATGTTTGTCTACAAATTCTGTTATATCATATACACCTTCTTTAAAGGTAACCCAAATACGATTTTTTTTGTTATCATGTATTCTTACTTCTTCTAAGCTATAAGTCTTTAAATCCTTCCGAAATTGACCACATTGTACATTTTGTATTACATTAAGAGCATAAACATTTCTTCTATGTTTAGAAATAAAATAAGATATGCCTAAAACTGATGCAGCAACAGCAACATATGTTGCATACAACATAATAGGATCTTCTGTATTCTTGGAAGATTCATATTTTTTCCTCGTAGAAGATTGTTGGTATGTAGAATAATCTTTTATAAGAACTTGTAACGATGGAATCTGTGATCTGCAATGAACAAATTAATGGAAAGAAAATTCGTAAAAGTTTAAAACGTTATTTATATAGAAATCCGTTATGTTACAAATATCAAACTTCTTAAAAAAATAATTAAGACACATTATATTTTTTTATTATTAGAAAATGATAAAAATAATATAAATACCTTTGTTTTATTCCACAAAGTATTCTCCAATGTAAACTCATACTGTTTAATTTGATAGTAAACTATTTAATATTGCATTCGATACAATTTGATAACACAAATTCGTGTTTGTTGATATACACAATACATATGTCTTTAAGAAATGTATAAATATGTGTAAACATGAATTGATCATGGAACTTGCTTATCTTATAACCCTTGTAACAAATAAATGAAGTTTATCCATGTTATTGCTAAACAGGCTGTTTGTCATCAGCGCTGCAGTAATAAATACAGTAACGTATTTTATGGGCGCAAAAATCTTGGGTGTTGAATCAAAATAAGGGATTTTTCCAACTTTTTGATAGGTTTACCCAATAGTTACCTATTAATGAATATCAGTAATCCTTACTCAGTGATTGAAATACCAAGTAAAATTACCTCTATTGTTATTACCAAGATGTAATTTTACTTGGTATTCCAACTATCGAGTAAGGATTACTGATAGTTATTATTAAATAACTGACGGGCAAACTTATCACAAGAAGTTGGAACAATAGAAACTAAAAGAGATTAAATTACGATAAATAGAGATAAATTAATTAATATATTAATATATTATTTAATATTGAAGTATGAATATATAAATTTAAATATTGTAAAAAAAGATATTAAAGAACAAAAATTAGAAATATATTCAGATAATTTTTAGAAACTTTCAAGCAAAGGGCCTAACAGTACCTTTTATTTTAATAAAATATATACGTTACTAAAATATGCTAAATTCTACGCATGCGTAAAAAAAAATCACATGATTTGGGAACACTGATTGTGTTCCCAACCTTCAGACTGCTTCAGACAGTTTGATAATTTGTGACAGCTGCAAGCAAAATTTATGTGTAATCAATTTATATAGGTTATTTTTTCATTTTGACAGAAGACTTCGCAACTTGTTTTTTTATGGTGAAGGAAGAAATCAGTGGATGTCTTCAATATCGTTTATTTACACTTGTAAAATTCCGAAATAATGAGATAAAATCAACTTTGCATACCGATTAGGTATTTCAATTGAGATGGGTGAAAAATCGAAGCTTCTTGATGGCGAAACAAATTTTACTGAAAGATATGATGGTGCTGATTTTATTGCAAAACAAGATGTTCAATTAAGTAAAGGTATAAATTAAACCTCAAAACATATGTTTTATTTCAGCATATATGTGTCATATGTTACAAGTCATTGTACAGTTTTATTAAAATTTACTTGTTTTCCTCAACTAAATATTTATTATCATTAGTGAAAAAAATATGTTGCAAAAGATGACATAAAAATAATATCTTTTCTCTATTCCTTTCATGTTCAATGTCACTTCAAATTTAAGAAGAAAAGTATATAACTCTATGTGTCAAAATAAAGGTTGATAGTTATGTTTATTTGTATATATGCATGCTGAAATACATTACAATAGCGAAAAAAAGTATTAACTCAAAGATGTTCTTATTTTATTTAAAGCATAAAAATTTAATTTTATGTCCAGGAAGAAAAATGGAGGATGGTGCTTTGCAAGTTCAAAATAATTATCATGCAAGTAACATGTTCAGAAGTAAAAGTGACTCAGCGTTATCAAGGAAAAACAGTGGAAAATTAGTGAAAGATAAGATTATCTTATTGAATAGTTTTGGTGCTGACAAGTTTATTCACGTTCCTGATACAAAACTTCAAACATGCCAGTTATCTAGTAGTGAAAGCTGCCTTTCATATGATGATAAAATTACAAATGATGTACATACGTATAAAAATATGACACCATGTATCGATGAAAAAGAGACACTATTTAATCAGTCGAGCAAAATGAAAATTCCTTTATCAAGTTTACAGTGTTCCATAAACAAAGAAATGATTAAAACATGCCAAAATAATCTGCCAGAAGATAAACACGATAACATTAATTTTAAAGAACAGATTGGAGAAAATAGTCTACCAAAAGTGGAACAATCTTATCAAGAAATAATGAATTCACAATTACAGATAAATGATAAAACTTTGATTGAGAAAAAACAAGATGAGGAAGATTTATCTAAAAAGCATGGAACAAATTCAACTCTGACATTAAATACTCAGATGCGAAATAATTTAATATCTCGACCGTCACTAGCTGATGATAGTAAACTTGTAAAAATGTCTTTTCTAGCGAATCCGATAAATATAATGCAGTCAAATGTTCAGCTTTTAAACAAAAGTCGTAATTTTTTAAATTTTATCACGGAAAAGTCGACAAATATTATGGAGAAAGCATTACTACCACAGCATTTAGCAATGAAATATAATCATATATCAAAATCTATCGAAGCTGATGCCATGAGATTTTACACTAATAAAGAATCTTCCTCGAGAGATGTAATATCTAGCTCAGATTTAACAAATCCGAACAATATTCTGAATGTAACGAGTTGCACTGCGAAACAAAGGCATGACAGCGGTGAAAATAAGTCGGATAGTGTAGTAAATAGTGAAAATGAAATAAGCCCATCTGTACATCTAAAAGACGGTAAAATGTGCGAAGATTTTAAGAAGTGTGAGGAACAATTGTTACATAGTAACATTTTTGAAAATGAAATAGAGAAGACTGATGAGAAGTATATTTTTCAAAAGAATGACGTAGATAGATTAAATTACGATATTATCAATGAAGAAGAAAATAAAACTCAAAGTGATTTTCTGCGAACGGAAAAGTTGCACAATGACACGTGTAAAGAAGATTCATCTGACACTTTGATAGATTCAAATATTTTAAAATCTAACTCATTAGAACATCCCTTATATCTTGCGCTATTGGAGGATTATACCAATTTAAAATTCAAGAATTCGAACTTATTAGAGAAAATAGAATATTTAGAGAACTCAAGTCAGTCGGGCAAATTATTTCAAGAAACTCAAACAAATACAGATGCATTTGCCTTACAAGTGAAGAACTTAGAAAAAACTATAAGTAAATTAACAGCTGATTTGAACGCGTCACTAGACACACAAGAAGCTTTAAAGCAGGAATGTAGCACAGTTAACAAAGAGAAGGAAAACATGGTTATGAAATATGTAATTAGCGAAAAACAGTTGATTGATATGCAAAGGTATGTATAAGAGAAACAACTGTATAAATTAGTCATATTAGGAAATTTTGGATAATAAATTAATTTTTTAATTTTTAAATTGCTTTATTGCTGAACACATTAACTTGCGAATATTTTATAAAGTTTAATTCACAACAAATGTAACACAGGTCGAGAGATTGCGCGGAACGTAAAGTCAAGGAAGTTCTAAAGGATCAAGAATTGTTACAAAACAAATTGCGCCAATCGCAAGGTGAACGTACAAGAATATGTAACATCCTGGATGGAAAATGCCGTGAAATAGTTGATCTACAAAAGGAAACGGAGAGATTAAAAGAGGATATCAAATTGAAAGAAATCAAACTAAAGTGGTCGGAAACTAAAATTAAATCTGAAAAGGAATTGCAAAAGGACACTCAGCAGGAATTAAATAAAGCTAATGTAAAGTAGAATGCAATTTTGTTTTTTACGTAGCTTAAGAAGAAAAAGAATTATTTAAACATTCAGTCTTTTTACGTATAAATTGTTATAACTATTGTCAATTTTAATAT